GGAGAAAGAGGTGAAGACAGGGCGCATCTGTCCATCTCCGACAGTCTGTCCAGTCCTCTGAAGGTTTACGTACGTGGCTAAAAATACACTGCAAAAGCAGATGGTGATACAAAGAGCAGTTTGTTGAGCCTTTGTGTCTGCTCCGTGTCACATAGTCGGACACACTGATTGAAAGACATATTCATATGCTAAGATCTCAAGAGTTAGAGGGATGGCAGATCAAAGATGAAGTGTGGGATGGTCGTTAACAAGAGAACAAAAGAACTATGATTTGATGAGCTCGTATGAGTCAGTCGCACCGCCTCGCTCTGAGAGGTTGTATAGCCCTCTTTGTTGGCACAGACGCAGCTTGTGACGTCCTTTAGACAATTTGGTTGGTTGCCCAAAAATGTGACCGCCATGTTGTTTGTCGTTCAAGACACAGGAATTTGTGTTGCTTTTTTCCGGTAACACCATATTTGATCTTTGTATTGGTGTCCAAACAAATCTGTCTGTTGCTCTGCAGTGATTGGCAAAATTGAGCATAAATGCAAAAAGTCTTGAATAGTATGAGATGCTTGACATGCACTGTTTGGGGAGCTGATGAACAGGCTTTAAAGAACTTTTATATTGCAATGATAAGATCGGTTTTGAGTTATGGTAGTCATGTCTGAAGGACTAGACAAAGTACAGGCCCAAGCATTGACGTTCTGCTGTGGGCAGCAGCTAAATCTAAACCTTTTTCAGGAGGAAGTGGGTGAAATTCTGTTCAGCTAAGGAGAAAACATTTCATGGCTAACTACTGGGCAAATCTGCCCTAAAGGAACTACAACCAAAAAACCGGCTATAGACATGATGGGAAAGCTGCTAAATCAAATAAATGTGTAGTGTAATTTCAAATATAAATGAGGAATTGGGAAAGAATAATTGGCTCATCAGTCAATTGGTTTTGATAACAGCTGTTCCTCCATGGCTACTGCCACAACCAACAATTTGTTTTTCCATATTGGCGAAAGTACATTCAATCAGGAAAACAGTTCATGTATAGGCGTATGTGAACACTATAGAACTATGGCCACTATGTTCAGATTTGAGCAGACGGATCCAGCAAGCCTAATGATGGAAAAACAAAGAAAGCACATGTTGTTTTTATGTTATTTCTTCAAATAATGTCAGTGTGCTCACATCTGTCAGTAGTCTCCCTCACCTTACATTATATGTCAGAAGTTTGTTGATGACCAACAGCTTTTAAATGTCGGCACTATGACTGATTACGAGGTGATATAATGATAGAGATAGACGCCCAGGCTTAATTTCTACACTTTACTCATTTACACAACAAATGTGTGCAGGTGATGGAGATGTGCTGAGTAATGAGAAAGCAAATGATTTCTCATCCAGTTCCCAGATTTACTTGTCCAAAGCAGAGACCTGGGATCAGCACCTTACATAACCTGGACAACTGGACAACAACTTTTGAAAATATCTGCACAGGAGCCTGCTTGTCTATACTATATAGGACAAGTAGGCTCCTGTGTCTGGCATAGACTGTAAATATTGGTCCACAAGAATCTGACAAAGACTTAAAAAATAAAGAAAAACGAACGACAGAGGGTAGCATTGCGCATTTGATGCTTCTATCCTACCGAAGAAGAAGATAAAGCCCAAATAATAATAATCACAGTCCTGTCCTGATACGCGCGAAACTTTGGTAACAGCAATGGCGTCTTCTGCAGGTGGGTCTGTATACTTACTAAAAACGTAAACATATCAGATAAACGAATTTCATCTGACATTTTACTGAAACTCTCGGACACAACTATTAAACGAATCGGTGTTCAAACCAGTCAGTTAGGCCTGTATGAAATGAAACGCACATTTATCACGTGGTTTCAGGTTGTCGGGGGACAAAGCGCAAAGCGGAGGTCCAAGCAGAGGAGGAGAAACCATCTGTAGAGGAGAAGAAAGACAGAGGAGATGAGGAGATTGTCCAGGAAGGCCAAAGGGTGGTCATTGAACACTGGTAAGTCAATTGCTATCACATTACATTCATTAAGAACTCAGATGCTGACTATAGAGCTCCAGATCATTTGTAAGACTCATACGAACCAAATGTCTCATTTTTTAAAACAGTGCGTAGAATTAAAGACCTAAAAAGATGGCTGGATGAACCTGGTGGGTCTGTTATTTCTTGCAGTAAGAGCTGACGAGTGTATGGGCGTAATGCTGAGGAGGTGAAATCTGCCCTTCTAGCTGCCCACCCTGGACTTACAGTGGTTTTCAACCCAGTTAAACCTCGTAGGAACAGCTTCGAAATCTCTCTGCTCGATGGAGACAAAGGTGAGGAGGGTCAAAACAAAACGAGAAACCCCAAATAAGTCCCCCAAGAAAAGATCAACAGTCTGGTGTCTTCCACAGAAAGACGCTGTACCTGGTGGCGGAGGTGGCAGGGGTTGTACCCTATGTATATTAGGTTAGGGTGTATATTCATATTAGGATTGCATACACTGACATTTGTCATGCATCAGCTGTGTTTTCTCTAGGTTTAAAGTGTTGGGGGGGGGTGGGGGGGGCATGCCGACATGCCGACACGGCAACACGACGACACAAACACTTGAAGGAATCTTGGTGTTCATGCGTTACTTTTAATGACAGCTGTCCTTTTCTATCGGAAAGGTATCCTTAAATGACTTCTTTCCCTGATTTCCGACTCTATCCACTATCCTATCGCTACCATAAATGCACAAAAAGCCCAAAAATAAATCGCCCCCCTAATATAATGCTAGGGGAAACATTGCTTCAGGATTCATCAGGTTAGAATCAGTGTACCATGTCCAACCACCCAGTAAACTTCCATTAAACTTCATATTAGGTTAGGTTACACTTAAAGTAGCTTTATATTATAATTATGCTTTGTTCTCCAACTTATTTTAGTTCTTGTTCACAAACTACTTTCATCTGACCACCTTTTCCCTTCACTTTTCCATACACACACACATACATGTACCTCTTCTCTCTAAATATCAGCAGTTTGATTTCTCTTGACTTGTTTTTCCTGTTTCGACAGAGAACATGCTAAAATGGTCAGAAAATATTTTCCACGTGTGGGAAACACAATATTTAATATGCCATTATGCATTTTTTTTGGCCCTTGATAGCTACAACTGCATGTGATATCGGCAAAAGCCAGTAAACACTGGCTAACGTTAACCCTGCTCCCTGCACGAAGCTGACCTTAAGTGATCATTTTGGGTGACATAATAAAAAGTACTGCTGATGATTTTCAGAGGAGCCCACACAGCCTAGAAGCAGACAGAAACAGAAAGAGGCAGTAATCTCATTAAGATCTGGACCTTGAAAATTCTGTGTTTTGTAACAGTATAATCAGGACAATGACATTATTTCCATGTATGCTGCAGTGATGTACAAGAGAAAATAAATTCTTCTGATGGAGGCTTTCAAACCCCCTTACCTGATGGTGCAAACTTTTAAACGCCAACTATTTTATTATGTAATTGTATTCAGCAACGCATTGTTCAGTACAAAGAACATTTTAATCAACTTTGGACTTTGCATTTGTGCTTTAAAAAGTTTCCTCTGTCTTATTTCTAAAGAAACATCACTGTGGACTGGGATAAAGAAAGGTCCGCCTCGTAAACTGAAGTTTCCACAACCTGATGTTGTAGTTGATGCTCTACAAGAAGCTTTGGAGGCCAAGTAGGCACTCTGGAAGGTTTGTCATGATTTAAGATTCAAGATTAAAAAAAACGTTATCATCTATCACATGGTGAAAGAATTAACTTTGGTTTGAGGCTCGAAGAACACTAAAAACACTCACACCCATTATACATGTAAGGCCTTAAAGGTTGACTTTTATTTTCAACTTATTCTCCTTTCAGTGGCATAATTAAAGTCCTGCAATTGCCTTTTTTTTCATGAAATTAGAGATTGGTGTTCAATATTTGTCTGGATTCCATCACATATATACAGTATATATATTATCCTCAAAGCCAGTGTCATAACCTGCACTTGGCTCATGTCTTCACATTTGAATGAGTCACCAGCTGATGGGAGAGGACACTGCTTGTTAGTCTGAGCTCTGACGCACATTCATCATGCACCCGATACATTAAAGCTAACAGCTTTTTATGTAACATTTTAATGGCAGGCCAAGTACGGTTAAAGTAGCAAGGGTGATAATTGATTTTAATCACCTACTTGTATTCAACTTAACACTCATCCTTTGAAAAAGTGTTGTGTATATTTAGGGCTGTAGGAACTTTGGAAGGCATGGGTTACTATAGGGGATCTGTAAGAGACGCTGCAGACTTTAACAAAAGCTTTTTTTTTCTTTCATGCAGCCAAATGTTTCGGGGATGTGGCCAGTGGAAGCAAAATGATGAGGAGGGACCAACGAGATTTTCTCTGTCCCCTCTCTGATGACTGAGGCTCCAGCAGCTCACATTCTCTGGTCAAATGGTGACACCTAGTGGAGTGTCTTTCTCCCAACACATTTCTCACAAGCGCAGTCCTGCTGTTGTTTCTTCAAGTGTCCCCCCCCCCCCTCCATTTGTCAAACGTTTATAGTTTCTTTGTGTCTGTTTTTGTTCAATAAAGAGTTTGTAATTTCTAAATCATTGTTTTTTATTTAAATATATATATTTATGTTTCTGGAGATTTGTTGGTAAGAATAATATATTTATTTCAGAAACAATATCTTCCCCCGTTTAAAGGAATGACACGAAACTCCATAGAGAGCTTTCTCTGCATTAAGTTGGATGAATGAAACAAAGTATTCAGATAACTGACCTTGAAATGCTCATTTAAAACTATTAAGGCGCTGGCTACATCCAGAGTTGCATTTGTGAGTAGTCCATTTGCTTTTCTGTGTCTTAATTACGTTCAAAGCTCTGAGATAATAGTGACCATATAGAAGAAATGTAAAGATAGAGAGACTTGCATTTTCACTTGAGAGGGTTATTTATTTAATGAGTCATAGGTCATACTGTATACTTGCTCAGCTCGCTCGCTCGCTCGCTCTCTCTCTCTCTCTCTCTCTCTCTCTCTCTCTCTCTCTCTCTCTCTCTCTCTCTCTCTCTCTCTCTCTCTCTCTCTCTCTCTCTCTCTCTCTCTCTCGATTGGCTGCAACGAGTTTGACGTAATCATCCTGCGCCCTGGCAGTACGGTTTACTCTGTTGAGTGTTGGGACGATTCATCCATCAGCGGACAATAAAGTCTGTAAGTTGCTGCACTCGTAGACTGTATTATGACAACGTGTATAGTTTTTTGACATTTGAAGCGATTGTAGCCCTTTTTTTTCTGCCTTTATGCCAAACTAGTAAGGCTGAGTTAACTCATTGATAAAGTTGATGTGTTCGTGATCAGTGATCACGATTTGTTAGTGTTTGTCGATAGAGATAATTATGTTAAGAATTCCTGATTAAGTTCATATTCTAGATCTTTTTGACTCACTGTTAGTACATTTATAAAGACGGTGCTAAAATGTAATTATTTAACTCCTGTGTGTATTTTCCAGGTTAATGTAACTTGTTCTTTGTCTTGCCAGCCATGGCGACAGAAGGTGTGGAGAAGACGAGTGAAGATGCTCCGGCAGCTGGGAAGGTGAGCACCCGGTTTGACCTGGAGAAGGAGACTGAACTTCGGTTCGAGGTGGAGGCGGGGGAGGCAGCAGAGCAGGTGGACCTGGAGCTCCTCACAGGAATGGCTGAGGTGTTTGGCTCAGAACTGAACCGCAACAAGAAGTACACCTTCGGACCAGGCTCGAAGATCGCAGTTTTCACTTGGCAAGGTTGCAGTGTTAATCTTTATGGGAAGCCAGAGGTGAGCACCAGTTGAAGAGAGTGTGAATGTAAACACCCCCCCCCCCTCTCCCCCACCTCCCCCTTCCCTATATTAGCTTACTGAAATATTTCTTTAATCAGACATATCACATTTAACTCTGTGTGGGTTTGTTTTGATGGATGAGAAGCTAAAATAAAAAGCATTTCTCAAATGCCACAGGTGGCTTATGTGTCCAAGGATACTCCTATGTTGCTCTACCTGAATACACATGCTGCCTTGGAACAGATGAGGAAACAAGCAGAGCGGGACAATGAGAGGGGGCCACGGGTAGGTTTAATTAGAATCCATTAAAGAGTCTTCATTTACAAGTTAGTCAGGTCTTATATTATTATTATTATTATTATTTCTATTGATATGATTAAAAAAATCCCCCAGGTCATGGTGGTGGGACCTACAGATGTGGGAAAGTCAACAGTGTGCCGGCTGCTGTTGAGCTATGCTGTGAGGGTTGGTCGGAGGCCAACGCTTGTGGAATTGGATGTCGGACAGAGCGGGGTAAGATAAATTCTAGTTCAAATAATAATCATGGATGCAGCGTTCATAGAAACACATCATCTTTAATTCATGCAACAACAAAAAAAAAACTGAGTACTGAATCTGTTTTATAGATATGATATATATATTTATGCCACTCTTTCTGCTTAAGATAATTGTTTCAGATTAAAAGCAACACATGCTTATGAAGCTTGCTCTTTCAACAAATGCACAACATTTTTTGATAGCAGACAATATGAGTTGAATAGTGAACACAGTTTCAACAGTAGTAAATATAAGGAGCTGAATAATTTAAAGCACAGGATTTTTGTGCAAATTTGTGATCACAAAATATAAGATAACCCATTGACAGTAAAGTTAACAATGAGTGAGCAAAATCAGACCACAATTAAAATCTCATCCCCTGTTGATATATAGTGGAAAATAAATTCTACTCCTCAGGTTTCTGTACCCGGTACGGTGTCTGCACTGTGCATTGAGCGTCCAGCAGATGTGGAGGAGGGCTTCTCAGTCCAGGCGCCTTTGGTCTACCACTTTGGCTCCACGACCCCAGGGACAAACATCAAACTTTACAATAAGGTAAGAAAGGAGAGATTCTGAATGCTTCACAACAAAACAGTATGGAGCCAACAGCCCACTTTCTATCTACAGGTTCAGAATAATGTTATCTTTTTGCATTTGTCTCTCCCCACATTCATCTATCCTTTTCTTCCCACATGCAGCTGACATCACGCCTTGCCGAGGTATTTTCACAGCGCTGTGAAGTGAACCGAAAGGCCAGTGTGGGAGGCTGTATCATCAACACCTGCGGCTGGGTGAAAGGCTCTGGATACCAGGCTCTGGTCCACTGTGCCTCTGCTTTTGAGGTGGATGTGGTGCTGGTGTTGGACCATGAGAGGCTCTACAATGAACTCAAACGAGACCTCCCTCACTTTGTGAGGGTTGTGCTCCTACCCAAGTCCGGGGGTGTGGTGGAGCGCTCTAAGGAGTGCAGGCGGGATACCCGGGATGAGAAGATCCGTGAGTACTTCTATGGCTTCCGTGGAGTGTCTTTCTTCCCTTTTTCTTTTGAAGTTCGTTTCTCAGATGTCCGCATCTACAAGATCGGCGCACCATCCATCCCAGACTCGTGTCTGCCTCTAGGAATGTCTCAGGATGACACACAGCTAAAGCTGGTGCCTGTTACACCAGGAAGAGACCTCACGTATCATGTGCTGAGTGTGAGCAGTGCAGAGGACGGAGAGGAGGGTTCAAAAAAGGGTATCGTGGAGAGTCCTGTATGTGGCTTTATTGTGGTGACTTTTGTGGACACACAACTACAGGTGATGAAAGTGTTGTCTCCAGCACCAAGACCACTGCCCAGACACACTCTGCTGATAATGGACATCCGCTTCATGGACATGAAATGAGGTTAACCTTCAGGGGAGAGGGGAATACACACATAAGACAACGTTAGGGAGGGTTTCTGATCTTTTTTTTCCTTTCTTTTTTTTTTTTTTTTTTTAAGTACAGCTGGATTTAGTTTCCTTCTGGCTTGTTTGTGGGTTTTAATGACAGAAAAAAATAATAAGAACCTGCTGTTCATGATAAGACATTGTACAGGAAATTGGGCAATTTGTGAAAAGTAATGTTTTATTTGTTTCAGATTATATTCTTGATAATCTGTTTTATAAACAATTTGTTCTCTTATAATAAATTTTTAAAAATAACAAGTTTCTTGTTTTTGTTAATTGTAAATATTTTCCTATCCTACTTACATACACTGTAAAAATGTATTTCATAGAATGGTTATAAAAGCTTTGCGTCTCTGTTAACAAAGCAAAGAACGTTTGATAAATCCCAAGGTTCTATCTGAGCTATTAAACTTTTTAATAAACCTCTCCAACATTATAATGAATCCAAGTTATAATCAGTCTCCCTGTGGATTGGAATACATGTTCTACTTCATTTGTTTTATTTATCATGTAGTGTTCATAACTGTACAGAGTAAGTGGGGTAAAGGATGGTAAACTGTAGGCCATTTCCTGACTGTCAGTACCACCATTGCAGTAACTGTTTAGGGTAATACAATGTGAACTCGTTTGCTGTTGCTAAAACACCTGCCAGCCCATTCCAGAAAATCTGCATGTCTGTATGCATTAATTCACATGTCTCTTTATGAGTTATAAAGGCAAACAAGACCATCGGAACAATTATTATTTCTTTAATGTTATTTTTAATGAGGTTTTGGACAAAGTGATTGCATGCTGCAGAAACAGCCTTTAAAAAAAAAGCTCCACAGCAGGGATTCTCAGTGAGTTTTGTATTTGACTCCTTACAGACAGCAGGATGAGATTTTTCATCAAACTCCCTTCTTACACATGTACAGGAAAACATTAGAAAATAGATAAGATACTTTGTTCACAGGGTTTGCCATAATCAACTCAAACTAAAAGTTCCTCACATGCGCTTTAGATGCAAAGACAACACTGAACAATTCAAGATGGATTCATGTATAATAAGTATAAATATCTCAAATGTAATCAAACATATACTGTGGTACCTGACACATAAATCACAATATATTTGTGTCCTGATTTTAAGTTGTAGCATGTTCCTTTGTCTTGATTTTCTGCATGATTGCTCTAAAAGGGAAGGATACAACTTCATTGTAGTTATAGCATTTATGGGGGATTTGGTTTGGCCATTGTTGTGACACTACATGCTTCTGAAGCTTGGTAAAAACAAAAAGTCTTCCATGTGAAACTCATCAGTTTCAAGCACTTATTGAAGTTTTAGCATTGCAACTCAAAACCAAAACACCTGACTTGTGAAGTTTGTATTTAATTCTGATGAAGGGCATTTCATCAAAAGTAGACGTGGTTCACAAAATAAATTAAACAAAAACAGACTTAAAGTAAATATATAAGTAGCTCTCTGGAAGTGGTCTGTAGAAACAAGAAAAATATTAGTGTCATCCTTGTTGCAAAATGAGCAGTTTGATGAGATATATTAACAAGTTGCTGGGATTATGTTTGTGTATTTTTTTAAATAGGATAGGATAATACTTAATTAATCCCCAGAGCGTTATAGCAGCACAGACAAGAAAGCTCAAAATACACATTAAACAGAATAGATATGATAAATAAAAATAAAAACAGGAGGTATATACAAGTACAAAATGAATGATGAAGTTAAAAGGGGGATATGAGAATTGAGACAGTATTTGCAGAGAATAATAAATGTAGTCTTTTAACTAAATTCATAAAGAAAAATCCCAAAAAATGAAGGTCACAACTATTTTCCTGATAATAAACCAGTCTGCAAAGAGGCGTTTGGTGCTCTTGCAGGAGACCACGCCCCCCCACTCCTCATCTCGGGGTCTGATTGGCTGTTCGCCCCACCTGAGGGACGACGGACTAGTTCCGGGATTCCGATGTCGGCCTAGCGAGCGAGCTAAGTGGTTTGCTAGCGGCTAATTCAAGGAGGACCGTAACGACCCACACCCCTAAAGACAAGACAGCTCGTATGTTCGATATAAGGTTTGTCCTGCTTGTTTTACCTGCTCGTCATGGTGACTCCTTAACGGAACAGAGGTGTAATTATCTCAATAAAAGGCCACTCCGTTAAAATAAAGCGTTAATGCTAACCAGGTAACGTATGCTAACTTTTTCTAGCTGTGGTAAAGGACTGAACACTGTCGCAAAAAAACTTTCGAGGCTAAATAAGAGCTAACCAATTACAAAGTGTGGCATAGGCTTTAACATGTTTTTATTATAGTTTGTGTACACGTCAAATGAAAACACCACAGCGTCTTTAACTTGCTCGTAATTAGAGATGTTAATGTTAATGAAGGGTTTTGATGTGAGAGCAGAAAGTGGTAACGTAACTTGTCTTGTCCTGGCCTGTGGTGTCACGCCTCGCCCTTTTCACTATTATTTAACAGTGATGGTGAGAGGAGATTCAGTGATATGCTGTCGTACGAGAAATCACCCCCAACAACTCTCAGTGTGTCGTCACTGTTTGTACATTTGATTAAATTTGAAGATGTCAGGTAAATGAAGATTGTTGCGGTGACATGACAGTGAAGGCTCGACCCGGAGATTTTAGGATTAACAGACATTATAGAGGGGGGGGGGGGGTTGTTGTGGGTCAGATAAAATCATTTACAACATTGACAATACTTCACAGACAGCTTTGTATTTGGTAAAGATGACTGTTTTGATGAGGGGTGTGTCCAAACTATCAGGTTACATCTCTCTGTCACTCTGGATTCAATATGTTCACACCGCACGGACAAGTTTTTCATCTGGAGGTGTTGTGTGTGTGTGTGTGTGTTGTGTGTGTGTGTGTGTTGTGTGTGTGTGTTGTGTGTGTGTGTCAAAGGCGTCCACCCTGATCGTTGTCTGCAAATGGTGTTATGAATTTCCAGCAGTGGGGTGGTGTTTATTTATTTGACCACCTGAGGGCATAGAGGTGGCAACTGTCTGTTTAACAGCAGGCTTGTTGAGCAACTTTTCTCAAATGAGTCATGCTGAAAACTCAAAAGTACACAGTGGAGGCTTTTTTTTAGGAGGTTAACAAGATAGTTAGTCATTTTGATCCTTGTGAAATCTGAGAGAAAGCTGTAATATTTTTCACCATAACCCATTATTTCTTCGTGATGTCTATGTTTCAAACTAGTTTTTAGATATGACGTGTATACATTTTTGCTGGTAATCCCTTCACCTGAAATGTCACTGGAACGTCTCGAACAATCTGCATATCGCTGTTTCCCATATTCCAACATTTTTTTTTTTTTTCACTTGTGACCATGAAATCAAATTAGAGTTTATTCAACAGGTGATTTCTTCTCCTGAATCAGCAGTTAGGTATATTAGCTTTCCAGCTTTAAATTGATGTGACACAACTGATAGATATCAGCTACTGATATCAGTTCATACCACATTACTTGTCAAGCTGTTGTCTGTCAATAGGGCCAATATAGGCCAATACTATTTGCATCCGATGCATTAGTGCATCCCTAAAAAAAACGTTTTTATATTGAGGTCTAACCAGCAAACATAAAGGAGACATTTTCGTTCAATGTGTTTTATTTTAGGTAGTTGTGTTCTCCTCTTGTTATTCGGTCTGGGCGTTATGAAATATACCTGCAATGTAAACATGGTTTAATGTTGCAAAATTGAAATGTGCAATTAGATACCAAATATTGATGTGCACACTTTAATAGCACTTACAGTTCCTGTTTCTGTCAGTCGTGAGGCATTTTTTACACATTACCATTGTTTTAAACAATTATTATATCATTATTCAAATTATTATTATTACTAATTATATATTTATTTTTTTATAGGGGCATCCTCGGTTACCCAGAGAACCAGAGGTTGACAGAGGACCAATTGAACAAAGGATTAAAATGCATCAGACTTCATAACAACACTGCTGCACATGGCTTCTTTAAAGAGATGCAAAATGGAAAATGAGGTCTATCTGCAGAGAATTTGGAGGTGGGAGAGGTCGCTTCACCAAGACCTGGCCTTCTGTGGCGACAGCTCGGCAACATGCACAGGGCCTCTGTTTGGAATGAGTTGATTCTTTCCTCATAAAGACTGAGGGCAGGGGTTTTAAAAGCCCAGAGGACTGTGTTTTGCTATTTGAGCAACTTGTAAAAGCAAGGCTAAACATCATTTTAAAACATTCTTTTAGCAGATTTTTTTTTTTTTAAACTCCAGCTGGACTCTATTGTTTGATGTTAGCAGCTTCATGCAACTGATTCAGAAGTGACATTTGTTGGTTAAGTTCTTTTTAACTGCTGACTTGGTTTAAAACGCTGAAACTGTCCCTCCTGCCACCATCCTCAGTTTCTTCCACCCACCCAGTGCCTAAATAAGCCCTCTCGGGACAATTACAGAAGTCATCAGCAGCTGCTGTGCTCAATCCTCTGCCTGTTCTCCTCTATGTGCTTCTGCTCTGGGCCTACTGGCTTTCCACCCACTACCTCTTTAATTTTCTTGTCTTTTTTAAAAATATTACATTTCTCTGAGGGATAAAGTCAGAAGTCAAGCACAGCGACAAGCATTAGTGTAAACACTTGAGTTTGAGAAGTGGAGACTAACCTAAACTGCTCCAGTTCTAGCTGTGTGTACTTGTGTCTATGCTTTAATGTGCATGCACAGCTGTGTAAAGGTTAAACTGGTGCCAGGAAGCAACTTAAGTTTAGATTTATTTATATTCTTGCACCAAAAACAGTTACAATAAGCCATACAAAAATATTTATGAATTACCAACACATATTTTTGTATCACATAGCTTAAGAATAGTTTTGCTTTTATAAACCTCTAATAAGAATATGCATATAAAGTGAGTATTTAAAACAAATTGTACACATGCAAGAAGAGCTGTTCATTGCTAAATCAGTAAATAATCCTCTGTTTTGAGTGATTGTACTAGTGCTGTGATACATTTAGTGACTGGACCTAGTTAATTACTCATGTTTCTGCTGAGTTTCTGCTTTGCATAGTGTTGGTTTTCTTCTCCAGTCTGCAGTCATGGCCCCTCGTAGAAAACAACCTACTCGCCATTTTAACCTGTAGAGCACCCATAATAATAGGTACAGTAGATATCTACCTATCTCTGTGTCGTCTTTCCCTCTCTCTCTGTGTCCGATGCCGGGCTTCAGTGGTGGGGGGGTTGGGGGAGGAGTGGGTGGCCCTGCTTCTGCTCCTCCCCGCGCATTTCGACCTAGCCGATATGTCCCTGTGTCTGCAGCCACCACGTTCCTTGTTGGATCAACCACCCTTTTTTTCTGCTTCACGTAAGTAGCATTTTAATGCACAGAACACAAACATTGTGTAAACGGCCTATGTATGTGCATACATGTATTTCCCCCTTTTTTTATTTGCATACACACACTTGTGTCATTGCACAATCAAAAGTGCTTTAAACTTGTGTTTCCTACCCACACGTGTAAATATGCCTGTGTTTATTATGTTTCATCTAAAGGCATTATTTTCTTTCTTTACCTTTATTTATTCAAGGCAAACTTCACTGATCAAACTTGCACTCTTACAGCAACACTTGCGTATATAATTTGTTACACTTTAAGATGAACAGCTTTATTTGAGTTGTTTGAGGGTAAATTCTTTTTTTCTATTTGTGCATTTAAAAAATAAATTTATCTGTGATATGTCAACAAGTCCTTGATTGAAGCCTGTTAGTGGAAAATTGTCTTGACACCATGCAGTTTTGGAAATTACGTGTCAGCCTTTTACCATGTTTCCTATTTTGCATTCCTCTAGGTGCCCATGGTTGTCAGAGTATTTCTCCTCTGTCATTCCCATATACATTGCTGTGATCTTTCTCTTAACCCTTGCCAATTTCTGCATGGCCACCTTCATGGACCCTGGAGTCTTCCCCAGAGGTAAACACACATCGGCAGTGTGTGTGGGCTAGTCTTTTCTCCAGAGAGTTATGTACCAATTAAAAGATATTCTCAATAATTTATTGAGTTGTAATCTAATAGAGGAACAACATTTGATCAGGGTATATGATGTCTGTGTAATCTCAGTGCCTGTGTCTGTTATCTTTAGCGGAGGAGGATGAGGATAAAGAGGATGATTTCCGCGCTCCTCTTTATAAGACGGTGGAGATCAAAGGCATCCAGGTGCGCATGAAGTGGTGCTCGACCTGCCGCTTCTACCGCCCACCGCGCTGCTCACACTGCTCTGTCTGTGACAACTGTGTGGAGGTAAACACATACACATTAACACACACATAAACAGACACATACAATTTGATGTGCATTCTGTACATACCGTTACATAATTTTGAATTGAATGTCTTTGCAACATCTACTAAACATCCTCTGCTTTGTTGTTATTAAAACCTAGGTTTTTAAGTGACTGTCTCACAGGCCTAACAGTGCTTAGTCTGAAAATGGCAAAGTCAATTATTAGTTATTAGAGGAGCAAATTTTTCATCATAATTTTGCATCGTCTCAGCTTTTGACCCTGTGCCCTCTCAGGATTTTGACCATCACTGCCCATGGGTGAACAACTGCATTGGCCGGAGGAATTATCGTTATTTCTTCCTCTTCCTGATTTCTCTCACCACCCATATCATAAACATATTTGGCTTTGGTCTTGTTTATGTCCTGCACCACCGCCAGCAGTTGGACACACCACACGCAGCTGTAACGTATCCTTAATTTAGCTCTTTGCAGCTATAAAGACATGGGATGTTATTTTCCTATTTTACTAAGCAACTTGTGATTTTTAGCCTGTTTCGTTTTTTTTTACTTAATTTTTCTGGATTTGTTGCAACCTCCTTGACCCTCTCTTAGTATGGCTGTTATGTGTGTGGCTGGTCTGTTTTTTGTCCCAGTCGCTGGCCTGACTGGGTTCCACATGGTGTTGGTGGCACGCGGTAGGACCACAAATGAACAGGTTTGTTCATTCAGCTGGTTGTGTGAATCACATCTTGCGTCATATTTCACTGTTCTTTAACTTTCATCAATATTTTCAATGTTCATGTGAGCTTAAGCATTTTTCTGTCCTCCCTTTCATTGAAGGTGACAGGGAAGTTTCGGGGAGGCGTGAACCCTTTCACCAATGGCTGCATGAGAAACATTTCCCATGTGCTATGCAGCTCCCAGGCCCCCAGGTAAGCATTTCTCCTTCTCCTCTCACATGCTTTTACTCCCCTCTTTTAACACTATGCTACATGAATATAATGTTTAGGCCCTCTATTTATTTCTATTACTCTATTTCCCCTCCCACCTTACTCTTTTATTTTTCTCACTTGTCTGTTTTGTTAATGGAATACCGGAGTTCCATGCCACAGTATGAAGGGTTCTTATTTGTTCCTGATTATTGTATTGAATTTGAATGTATGTGCATGTTCCTGTCATAGATACATGGGTCGTTTGCAGAGCACCCAGTCAGTGGAGGTACAGCCCCCATTTGTTAGACCGCCTCTCACTGAGGCGCAGCTTGAGGCCAAGGTCCTGGACAACGGCATCCAGAATGACAGACACAGTACCAGGGTGGGTGACCCCAACAAACACACAACAAAAACATGCCTACCCCACGGACTCTTATATGCATTTTCATGTGGTTCAGAAATATTTGGCACATAATGAACATTTCATTGTTACGAGTTTACTTTGTGACCAACTGAACAGGTTTGTAGAGGAAAAAAATGTTCTTCAGCTGGTTCAAACAGTGCTTTTATTAATTTATCATTCTTACATTATAATGTTACTTGTTGTACATCTCTACAAGTTTAGCTTTCAAAGCCAGCTAAAAGCGAGCTTGATAAGCATTAGGGCTGCAGGAACGAAATTGGGAAATCAAATTATATTTTAATATTAAATTTACCAACAATATTTGAACGCTTAGATGCCATTCGATTATGTAATTTTATTATGTATCTTTTGGATAACAAGTATATCAATTCATGTGAGGATGTTAATGTTCCGGAAACAGTTTTACAAAAGTAGTCAGCCTAGGTGTATTTTATTAAAAACAAAACTGCCCTATCTTGAATTAGGCCACCACCCCTCTACCAACAGCTCGCGAGTGCTATATGTTGTGTCGCATGGCGCACGCTGGCTGTCCACACTGCATCCGTTAAATATTTAATTCCTTGTTATGTGAAGTTCAGTTTCCCCTTGCAAACAGTATGACATCTCGAGCTTTTGTATTGCTGCGTGCTTCGTGCTGCGTCGCTCTGTTTGGACCATTTTAAAAATACTATGGGCAATGCATACATCCAAGTGAACATTATTCTGTGCAAAAAAAAATTGCCTTTTAGTTATGTATAGGATAAACGGTACTAAATTTTAGCATTAAAAAAAATCAAATGTATTCAAATATTCATGAAAAAGCATTCAAATTCCAATGCGATTATAGATATAGTCTGGGAATGTCATCAGCCCTAATAAGCATACTGGTCAGGCTTGTTTGAGTGTTAACATAACACCAGAATGAATGTAGAGATAACTACAAGTAAAAGTATGTCTTGTTTCTGAGTTTTATACGTGTGTTACTGGTGTCCAAAGCATGCAAGACAAGAAATAAAAATGTTTGCTATTTTGCAAATCTATTTAAACCTCTTAAGTTAGCTTTTCTGTATGAACAACTGTTGACTTGTATTTTCTAAAGAGAACTGATAATAAGCAGCAGAATCCCCTACCACATGTTTTTGAAGCCGCAAACAAGCAGGTATTCACACTCAAAATAGTTAGAGGACATCAGTGTGATAGTTACCAGAAGCCAACATTTCATTTTCTTATGATGTTGCATTGTTTTTCATTCTCTGTGCCATGCATTATGCATATCAGGGAATTGATTTTTAATTCAGGTATTTTCTCTCTCCTGTGAAAACGTTTTGATTCCCTTTGATGTTGTTTCTTTTTCAGTCCAAGATCAGCCTAGATCAGATGGAGAGTCAGTCAGCTGATGCAGAGCCTCCACCTCCTCCAAAGCCGGAGCTACGGTACCCTGGCCTGCCCCGTGCTGACACAGAGGGTGAGACACACACAAGTACAGTTGATACATAGGTAAAGTAAATCCATCCTGGAGAACTCACCTCTTTCAAATGTCCCGTTTGTTTTGTCAGAGAGCAGCTTGCTGACTGAAGCTCCGCTTACGCCGTCAATGTTCAAATACCGACCACCTTACAACAGCCCAGGAAGGAACCACTCTGCCATTACACACCCGAACAAGGTACATGTCAATTTACATTTGAATGTACTGCAAAATATTGGAAACTATATTCATAAAAATGATTAGATACTGTAAGTAATAAACAATCAGCATTGAGTGAAGTTAACTGCATGGCTTTGCTTGATTGGATGGAAACACAGACACATGTAAATTGAATCTGTATATATTGTGTTGTAAATGCACTCAGCCATGTTGAACATTACACTGCATTCTTATTTTATAATTTGTAAGAAGATTAAGGGATGTTAGCCGTGTTACTCTTAAAGGATTGAAGCAATCAGAACAAACAGTATCCCACAGATTACTAATTTCCTTTGTGGTTAACGCCATGCCCCTCTTTTTTGTTTTTACTTTGAATTGATCATTCAGTGGCCATCGGTTGATCAGTAAGTCTCAGCTAGTGTCATCTGTGTGTGTGTGTATCCCTTTGACTGTCTCTGTGGGTTTGAGTGGATCTATCCTTTCCCCTCAGACTGAATTGACTGGATTGTGTAGTTCCTGTACTGTACTGTATTGTATTTGTATTCCATGTCTGTGTTGACACACCGTCTTTGACATGCGGTGTCAGTGCTTGTAAAGCCAGTCAATGTTTCCAATCCAGTAGTGTGATGATGGAGTAGAGCACCGGTCAAGCATCCAATTTCCCCCTACCACTTTTTATTTCTGTTTCAATCTGTACACAAACAGTTTTTTTTTTTTTTTTTTTGTTATCCATCCTGAAGTAAAAGGGTGTTTCCATCTTCATCACATTGTTCCTCCCACTCTTTTCCTTTGGTCTGTGTCTCCTCTCCCTTCTCCTCAGATGATCCGTGGGGAAAGTCTCGACTCTCCATCAACCTCCATTCTCCAGTCCAGCCGTCAGCCAAGCTACCGCTCGGAGCCAAGCAGCCTGGATGGGGCCACAGTAGTGGGGGGAGGTGTAGGGGTCCGCAGAGGGGGGAGGGGAGAGAGGTGAGGGCCCCGGGGGCCCTGGCGGAACTGCTGGAGGGATGTCAGGGGGCATGTCTGGTCACTCTCTGACTGGACGCTCCTACACCTCCTACCCATCCTCTTTAGTTCTGTCCACTGGCGGCTCCCACTCCTCCAGTCTGCGCTCAGCGCACACAGCACATAACCCTCTGGCCACGCTCCAATCAGAGGGCACCACAGACACCAGCTATAAAAGTCTAGCTAATCAGACGCCTCGGAACGGCAGCTTGTCCTATGACAGCCTGCTGACACCTTCCGAGAGTCCAGAGTTTGAGTCGGCCGCTCATGAACTGTCACCACAGAAGCCTCGAGCTCTGTTTTCCTCAAAGACTATAATGAGCCAGCCTGAGGTGATGTCACCCAGTAGCCCGCTGCAGGGCTACACGTCGCCCTTCCTCTCAGCTCAGATTGCCCAGCAGAGGGAGGGGCAGCTTCTCCAGGGCTCTGCCACTTTCTCCTCCCCTCACAGGGCCTACCTGCGTGCTGTGAGCCCGCCCCCTCCCTCCTCCTCAGGGCCTCCTGAGAGTCAGCACCTGCTCCATCATAACCACGACCCTTCTTCCCGAGCCCCTCGAAACCCTTCCTCCTCATCCTCTTCCCCTGGGGCTCGCTCACTAGAGCCTCCTGTTTCCCCACCACCCCGCGGGCTCTCCCTTGGCAAATCCTATTCTTACACTGGTGAGGCGGGGCCTCAGTACAAGCCTCAGCCCACAAGAGGAGGCACTGTGCTGGGCGGGGGAGGAGTCGGGGGAGGGCAACAGGCTCCACAGTGAGTAGTGAACCGCCGGCAGATCCATCAGCCTGCAACTCTTCCTCCTCCTTTCCCTCATAATCCTCTTCTTCTTCCTTCCTGGTTTGTGTCAGCCCTCCACCCTGATCTGTGTGAGTCTTCCTTTTCCTCCTTTACAGTTTAGAGTCTTGCTTGCTAAGCGTGTTGCAGCTGTACGTGTGTAAGGAGGTTGTATTGGTGTAATGAGTGCACTAGTGTCCAGCATGCTGGTACATGATTAACTTGATGAAAGCATGTCTCTTTACTCCTTTCGTTTCACCTCTCAAATGACCCAGTATAGAAACCAAATGCCTTACAAGATCAATGGTAGTGAAATACTTTTGCATTATGTGCTTGTTTACCGTCTTTGATTTAGAACCACTCACCTCCACTTCCATTTATCCCCTGTCCTCATCCCTAATCCCTCCACCCCCTCTTCCTTTACCCTCCCCAATGACTGTCCAATCAGATCCATCTCTCGCCCAGTCTTGGCCAACCACACCACAGCCAAACCAGGGGGTGGGGTGAAGAAGGTGACCGGTGTCGGAGGGACCACTTACGAGATATCAGTTTGAGTGACAGACATCCTTCATGGACCATCACCAGGAGGAGGAGAAAAGGTCTCTGGACTACTTCCACTACCCTGAGCTGGATATTATTCACGACTGCAGGACCCTGAGGAATTACTCTTTTTTTCAACGGCATTGTATGACAGGAGCAGGCGCGTGTGGTACTCACTGCATCTCTTTAAGGCTACTGGCCGGTCTTCTCTGTTAGCTTTTCAGATCTGAACAAAGAGTAAAAGGGGACTAAGATACATTTTTCTCCATCTAGCCACTTTGTGAGCCATAGACTGATGTGACTGTATCATTACTGGGTACAGATATGTCAATAGAACATGCATAGCTATCTAATGATTTTCTGTTTTACTTTGGTACTTAGCACACAGAGTGCTGACTGCTGTGTTTGACACACTTAAGGAAAAGATGGCCTTTATCCAGTGGATGTAGAGATTTAGAGGGTGGATTCAGGACTGTTGACCAATAGAAACGTCTTCTTCTTCACTGTCTGAACGGACCACATGACCTGTTAATCGATATGAATCATGGAAAGCAGAGTCCGACCTATAAACACAGTATCATTTTAGTTTTATAAATCTTTTTTTAAATATTGTTTTATATAAATGTATGAAATCTTACAGATTATTATCGGGGGAAATTGTCAGGTATTGAAAATGACTATTGATGAGGTTGGCAGTTTTACTGTGTGTAATTATTCATGAAAGCGATTTCAAATCAGTTGCCTGTTTATATTAAATGGCTGCATCAGCCACTTGTGAGCCCTTGTTGGAGTTGACATCGTCCAAAGAGAAAGATGATCCTTCAGTGGACAACTTAAGTGGCAAATAATTGAGGTTAACTTTTGAAAGCCACAAAGAAATTTCTGAATGGAGATTTCAGCACAAACATTTTTGTGGAATGTACACTTGTAATGTTTAAACTAGAGACATTATGCAAAATCTATTTGTAGCTTTAAGATCATTATTTGTCTTGTTGGTGTCTTTTATTTTTTCCTTTTTATTCTGTAATGTTTGTCAGTCAGTCAGTCAGTCAGTCAAGATGCTAGCAGAACCTCCTACATTCAAACAGATAGCCAGCCAAATAGAGGCAGCGAGGGAAGGGCTTATTTATTTCACAAAACCAGACAACTTTGTAGTTATCAACACAACGTCAAACCAGTCTACCAGTTTTTATTTAGTTTTTTATGACTAAATAGGGACATATTCAAAAAAAAATTAAATGCTGTAAAAATAAATTGTAAATGTGATAAGCCACTAACTATCTTGTCAAACAGAGACTGGTTTGCAAGGGATATTTTTTTGTCTGCCTCGAGCCATTTTTCTTTTAATTTTTTTTTTTTCTGAGGACAAATTTATAGGCAGATAAAGTTGTATTGATCATCTTGCTCATTTATAGATACTCCCGTAAAAGGTACAAAAACAGCCACTTTGAGAAAGTAATAATTAGAGGAAGGGAGGGGTGTATGCAAGTTTGTGTCTTTCAGGATCGGGCATTACAGTTGAGGTTTATTTATTTTATTATTAACTATAAAAGCAGTGTTTGCAGTAGAATGTTAAATCTGGCTAAATGTGGCACATCTTTGGGTGGAAGAATACACTTGAAGCACACAAGTATCATTGTTTCAACCCAAATGACTGTGTTATGAGTTTTCAACCTTCCCAGGCTTTGTCTTAGGTGTGCATGCAGTTTTGTCAAATGTCTACCCAGTTTATGTGTGGGTGGCTAAAAGAAAAGAATCATCATGAATGGCACAAGCAGTCGTTGTAAGGAGATAAAGAGAACCTGTGTTACTTTTTCCTGCTCCGGCCGATGATGTTGGCCACTGAACAATCTGATCCTTTGAGTATAGTAGGTATACTTCTGTGTGAGATAAAATATCACTATTGTGGGCTGTGATGAATGGAACGAGTTTCACAAATATCTGTAATGAGTACATGAAAGACATTTCCAAAATGGCCTTATAAAGAATTTTTAAAAGATGTCTTCTCAGAATAAAAAGGTCAAACTGATAAAAAAAAAAAAAAAAAGTACTGTCATGAGTTTTCGCTGTGCACTTCTTTGTTTTATTTCAGATTCACCTTTACGATACGAGGCATCAGTAACAAACAATACCGTCATCAACAGTTTACATGAAGTGAAGAGATATTGCTGAAAATACAATCATTACAAAAAGGCATTTGGGTTTTAAATAACTTAAGGTTTGTATTAAAATAATCATTGGTATGGCTGCATTCAAGAAACAGCACCATAGCCAGTCAGAGCAGGCAAAGGTGGCCCAGCTGTTATGGATATTTATTTAACACCATGAAGACTAAGCCGGAGAGAACATGTTGAAGTAGATTAACCTTATTTCATCAATCCGTATTTGAACTTCTGCAATGAAGAGAACACTTGATGCAAAGGAGACCCCATTTAGCCCCTCTGACCTGTCCTCACATCTCACTGGTCTTTCTTGCTCTCTGTGGGCTGTTGTGGGTTGTCAGATTCAGTTTGGAGCTCATCACTGCCTTCCTCTGGCGGAATTCCGTTCTGATCCTCTTCCTTCAAACCACGACTTTTGTTCAGCTTCTTGGACTTTTGGAAGAGTTCATTGAGGTTAAACTCTCGGATAATGTTCTCCTTTTGAGGAAAGAAATAGTCCTTATATTAGATATATGTGTGAATATGAATAATCAGTATATAGCCCTTCACATTCGATCTGAAAATATGATTTACCTCACTGAAGAGCCAGGATACAGCTCTCGCTTTGTTGTCCACCATTGGACGTCTAATAATTTCCCGCCCTCCTTGGAAAAGAATCAGTGAGGGAAGCTGCTTGGCCAGAGGAGAAGTGCTGACCCTGTACCTGTTCAGAAACAATCTATGGTCATTTTGTGGACAAACAACACGACACAAAAAAAGGTAGAGTGGAGGAAATGACTGACTTTTCTGAAACCTCTCCATAGCGTCCGATGTCCACCTTCCCAAACCTGAGTCCAGCACAATTATACCTGAAAGATGCACAAAACATTTATCCTTGTTCAAACTTAAAACATGTTCTGGATGTTTTTTAACTGAGTTGTTTTTTCAAAACTTTAAAATTGTATTGTATATACAAAACAAAATATGGTAAATAAAATTTACCTTAATAAGCTGATATTTTACTGATGACATGCTTTTGTGTAGCAGCACTTCAGGAAACCTGAAGCTCTAATCTGTTACTCTGACATCTAGTGTTTCAAATGGATACTGCAGTCCAAATTGAAAACATTGAAGAGCGCTACATTAGTCTTTATGTGTTTCATACTGGCTGCTGTGTTGTTGTCAGAGAAGCCAGCGCTTCAACAGAGATGTCTAATGATATACCGGCAGTAAGGTCATTTTATGATTTAATTCACTGTTATCTTACATATTGGACCTTTAAATACCAAGACATGAAAGACCATGATTAAACAGGAGATGCAGAACGTTCACAAACTTGTACAAAATACTATTTCAGTTTGCTGAAATTTTGGTTTGAATAATGATTATCTCCTTCAAGATACAAGACAGCGTGGCTGTAAAGGTGTGACTGGTGACTGGTTATGTGTTAGTCTACTCTTTGTCTGATCATGACCACAGCACAGCCAATCACTAAAATATTTGTTTCACCAATAATGGCAAGATAGCTGATACAGTGTCATCCTCAGTGTCATGTTTTGTCTTCATTTACTTATTTCTTACTTGAGAGAAAGTTCAGCGAAGACTGGAGCAAAGGACTGGCAGTCAGAAGACCAGTTGGCAAAAAATTCAACAATCCAGGTGACACGACTGTCTCTCTGCAGCTCCTCCTTAATGATTCAATAGAACAAAACCACATGAGAAAAGAATACACAACAACAAACTCTTTAATTCACACCTAACCACCTATTGGACTAGGAAATCAGTAGGGCTAATATTCAAATAAATACACTATGAATTGTGCTGTCTATAAGAACAAAAAGGAAACACAGTTGAAGAATCTCTCATCAAATTCAGCATTATCTGAAGAGTAACACTCACATCTATGGTCTTGTCACTGAAGTACTTGATGTACTCAGGGCCCATGTAGAGAGGCGGCTTACAGGTCATGACGAAGGCTGGAGACAAAAAATGATGAACAGAACATTTTTTTTAAAGTACAAGTGACAGATATTTCCACACAAAAAAATATTAATGCAAGTTAAACATTCGTTAAGAAGCACTAGAGGTAACACAACAACCTTAGAATATATTGGAAGTTAAGGCTTGTTATTCGATTCGGCAAGGGAAGTTGCGCGTGCATTCACCGTACCTCTTTGAAATAGGCCTTCATACAAGAATCTAATTAATTAATTTGAAAGAGGGATGCCAACACACTGGGAGCCTCAGGGAGACCACAATTGCAGATGCCTTTCATTTGTATTTTCATTTATCAATTTATTTAGCCTCAATTTTGTCTTATTTGGCAATTATGGGAATAAAAACCAAATCTGTTACTGTGACCACCATTTACAGTTTTATAAACGTTTTGTACACTACAAGACCAAGTGTAAATGTGTAGCCCGACATAAGGGGACATATTTTAACTGCATCAGTTTGATTTAGATGATAGGCTGATATCCTGCTGCTTTTTAAAAATAAATATCATAAATAATAATAATATATTTAATTTGTAACGCACTTTACAAAACAAATTGAATCAACTAAGCAACTAACGAAACTAAAAGCACAAGCAGAAGGCTTTGTTAAAGAGGTGGGTTTTTAGGGCCCTTTTAAAAGCATCAGCAGACTGTGGAGCCCTCAGCTGCTCGGGGGGGGGGGGGGGGGGGGTTTCACAGACTGGGAGCAGAGGAGCAGAAGGCCCGGGAGTTATAGGAGTTATAAGGCCACTGACCGACACACAAAGCGAAGTAGAGGATGCCAAGCCGGATGTCCAGCCTGAAGAAAAGGATGACGTTGGCCACTTTGCTGAATAGGAACAAGTTGCCTATGTGCTGCTCCAGTGTGACTGAGAGAGAGAGAGAGGGAGAAAAACATTGAATGCAGCATCGGAGAAAAACCTTCAAACTGTCGACACAAGGTCACAACTGTAATCGCAACTGTGTGTTTACACATCAAAGCAGAGTTGTTAGTGAAGCACTTTGGATGTTGCTTCAGGCAGGGTCTCTCAGAGGGTCTTGAAGGAACACCATGTGTCGCAAATTCCCTTTTTTTTTTTTGCTGAACATAAACAGTTAGTATGACTTTTGGTTGGGTATGATGTTAACCCAGTTACATAAATGTCTAGAGGTGAAAAAAAAGAGCTTAAATTAGGAGAACTTTTGATGATGTGACTGTTTAAAGTGTAAACATACATTTGCCATGATATCAAATTAGTTGGTTTACACAATAATAAAACTGTGTGTGTGTGTGTGTGTGTGTGTGTGTGTGTGTGTGTGTGTGTGTGTGTGAGAGAGAGAAAGGGGGGGGTACTCACTCGCTCTTCTGTTCTTCATCATCACTATTGCAGTGAGAAACATGAGAATCTCTAATTCTCTCTGTAAAAACAAAACCAGAGACAAAAACATTTAAAAAAAACAACTTTGTGAAGATTGTGGAAAAAAACAGCTACCTCATGTCACAGGACCCTCCATATTTAAAAGCTGGCAGCCCCCCCCCAACAACATGCTCCTCACCCAGTCAAAGTCGCAGGAGTTGCCGTCCTCGCGCTGGGTCGCCAGGTGTTCACACAGACCGGGAGCCTTTCGGACAACCATAAAAGCGACTGTCATGAAAAACGACATGATATAATACGGTTTCAGAAGCCATTTGTAAATCTGGGGTAGGTGGTACAAGAAAGAGCACAGTCCTGTGATAAGACCCATGCTTGCAAGGCACGACAGTCACCAAGAGAGGTTTGAGGAGGAGTGACAGCTGATGTTACAGACATGACAAGCCTCTTGTGTCGATCTGCGCCTGCGCCACATAAAGCGATTCCGCAGTTCCTGGGCTCAGCGACTCGCCGTACATTTGGCGGGCATTGTTAAAACGTAAACAGAGCAGTCTGAGAAATGGAGGAAAGTGAAGCAGCTGCAAAAACCGAGACCGTAGATAGCAAGGATGTTAAAGACTCCTCTGAAACGTTGACCAATGATGCTACAGGAGAAGTTTCCTCAAAGTCAGGATCAGTTTGTAAGACGTCCGAGGAGACGGAAGCGAAGTATATGCGGTTGAAGTTGTTCGACAAAGTGATGCAGAAGAGCCTTGAGAGGTTCATCCAACATGCCAGGTAAAGTGACACTTTTCTTTATACTGGAACTACAAAGAAGGAAAGAAAAACGTGTATGCTGTAGTCCCGGGTCGAAGTCCTCTTGTAATGATCACTTTTTGTAATTGTAGTATGATAATAATAAAATAACATGAGGGTATGAATAGAATGTCTTTATTGTCTTTATACAATTGTACAACGAAATAATTTGGCTTCACCTTAAAGTGCACACACATACAAGCATCCACAGCTAAAAACAACTAAGAAGAAGAAAAAAAAAAGGAACTCTCATTCAGGTAAGATGGGCAATGTATGGTAGGAGTTATTTACAGGTAGTAGCATAACAGAATATAAATAGATATTGCAGAAATATAAAATAAATATTGCACAGTATGAGATGTAAAATATTGCAGAAATATAAAATAAATATTGCACAGTATGAAATGTAAAATATTGCAGAAATATAAAATAAATATTGCACAGTATGAAGTGTAAAATATTGCACAAATATAAAATAAATATTGCACAGTATGAGATGTAAAATATTGCAGAAATATAAAATAAATATTGCACAGCATGAAGTGTAAAATATTGCACAAATATAAAATAAATATTGCACATTATGAAATGTAAGATATTGCAGAAATATAAAAGATGAAGGTAAATACAGCAAAAGGCTAACATGATAAAGGTGAGACACAAAAATTGTTTATGTCACAGCTGGTATCATGACTGCTGCATTCACTGACTCATCTGACAGAAAGTGCACAGGGCCTCGTTGAAGAGACACTGGCTGTCCCAAAAAAAAGTCGGCATAATAAGTGCATGGGTGATTATCCTTCAGCTGGCAACAACTTATTTAACCCCAACTAATGCAATGATTAGCTTCTCATTTCTTAAACAACTATGTTGACCCATCCTGTGATCGTGGAAAAGATGTTGGTCTGTTTGAGAAGGGTCAAATCATTGACATGCATCAAGCAGAGAAAACATCTAAGGAGATTGCAGAAACTACAAAAATTTGGTTACAAACTGTCCAACACATTATTAAAAACTAGAAGGAAGATTTACCCTGTTCCAGAGTGATCAGGGTAAGAAGAGAGGCAGATGAAGTGATGCACCCATCATGCATAGTGCCTACTGTACAAGCCTGTGGGGGCAGTGCTATGATCTGGGGTTGCTGCAGTTGGACAGGTCTAGGTTCAGCAACATTATGTGCCTGCTGACTACCTGAATATACTGAATGACCAGGTTATTCCATCGATGGATTTTTTCTTCCATGATGGTGCGGGCATATTCCAAGATGACAATGCCAGGATTCATCGGGCTCAAATTGTGAAAGAGTGGTTCAGGGTGCATGAGACATCATTTTCACACATGGATTGTCCACCACAGAGTCCAGACCTTAACCCCATTGAGAATCTTTGGGATGTGCTGAAGAAGACTTTGCACAGTGGTCCGACTCTCCCATCATCAATACAATTTATTGGTGAAAAATGAATGCAACACTGGGCGGAAATAAATCTTGTGACATTGCAGAAGCTTATCGAAACATTGCCACAGCGAATGCGTGGCATAATCAAAGCTAAAGGCGGTCCAACGAAATATTAAAGTGTGTGATCTTTTTTTTTTTTGGTGGCGACTTTTTTTTTGGCCAGGCAGTGTATCTTGTCTGTTTTAAATTAGGTTGTTCAGTGTGATTCAAACAAACAAACAAACATTAACATGTTTCATTGATAAAATATCTTACAAGACCTGCCTATTCTGCCTTGTGTTCCTGGGTCTCTTTAGATAAAATGTTTAATTTGTTTTGTACAACTAAGGGCTCAGAACAAAAAAGGTATAACACAGAAAAATTCCCCACTTTGCTGATACACTGGTCTCTTACAGTTTTAACAGATTCGCCAGCACATTTCGTCCGCTGTACAAGAAGAACCCTCAGAGGATGGAGAGCATCCACAAACAGTTCATAGAGGAGTTGCAAGGGGCTATAAAGGTGTGTAGCATATTATTTTAAGACTATGTGTGAAAAATAAATATCCCCTTAAGAGTGTGTATGTGTGTAAGCAGTCTGCACTGGTCTACCTGTTTTTTCATCTGTTTGTATGAATGTCTGTGTTTGTGAAGGATGACATCAACAGGTTGATTGAAGAAGGCCAGTTAGAATTCAAACTGAATGAACTGGACAAACTGGAGAAGACTACAAAAAACAATCCAAATCCTGTATGGTGAGTAAACTGCATTATGATCTCTTATAATCTTTGTGGACAAGTGTTGAGAATGAGCAGGTGTGCTAAAACACTCAAGCAATGCATCTGGTTCGTCCAATCTAATTGTGATGACTTAGTAATTACCGTATTCTTCCTAATTTTGATTATATGTTTGTTCCTTATATTGCCAATGTTTTCTGCATTTTGCAGCTTAAATGAAATAATAAATTGAATCCTTCAACATGTACTTTTGTTCCATTAGGCGGCCAAGTGGCATTCCTGAGCAGGACTTCTGCAGCTTTTTGATGCCGTACTATCAAAAACAGGAAGCCTACCTGCGACTGGAGCTGAAAAAGATTCAGGCAGAGAACGCAGCTCTTGCGCAGAGGGTCCAGACAGGTAGAGAGAGCATTACTCAGACTGAACATCACATCTCGACTGCTGTTGAAGAGTGGAAGGTGAGCGAAAATTATTGATGACAATAAAATAAGATTAAACATTTCTATTTATACGAGGTGTGCATTGCCAAGTTTAATGTTAGTTTGACTTGATTATTTATTTATTTTTTCTCTTTCTGCTTTAGGCATCGGTCACAGAATTTGAAAGGATGGCATCTTCTCTCTGCCCTGCTGATGTCTTTGATTAACTTAATAACTACCTTTTAATGTAAATATTCATTTTGTATACTGTCTGTTTTTCTGACCCTAAAAATGAAAAAGTTGGAATAAATAAAAAATGTTTTTTTTTGCCACCATACACCATTCATTACGGTAACATGCGTGTTTCTCGACTGTATTACGGTAGACGGGCAGTGGAAATAATGCCACAAAGAAGTGAGGAGTGGAGTAGTTGACACTGGATGGATACGTGCGGTGAGAACTATCAAAACAGGAAACATTTCACACGCTTCAGAAACCCGGTATTTTAATTGTACATACATGCTTTATCCGGGGTAGTTATGACGGAAATGTTTTCAACTCTGTACGGGCAAAGTGAAGCTCAGGGACCGCCCGGCTCGTCGTCTCTTGGTTTCGGACCGGGGAAACCTCCGCCGCCTCTGCCGCAGAATCAAGCCGCCATGGCGGGGCAGCTGCCACCGCAGCTCGGGGATGAAGGGCCTGCTCTGCGGAAGCCCGGAGCCATGAATGAACCCTTCTACTTATTGCGGGAGCTTCCTGGTACTGTGGGGGGCAACCCTGCTTTGTTTTTGTTTTTTTAACACCATTTTTCTGTGTTAGTTTAAATAAAGAAATTATCTGCTATCACGGGTTGTTAAGCAGTCTGTTTACAACGCTAGCTGAAGTTAGCCAACGAGATGAGTTTACGGTAATATGTGGACAAAGTAGCATGTTTTTTTTTATTATGTTATATGATAAACAAACTGTGTTATTCGTAGAAGAACTAGAAATGTAGCTTACTATTAATCATATGAGCATCTCTGTCCTGATCTGTAGCTCTGCTTATAATGGTCACCGGGCAATGTTTCTGCAGGAATATTTATCTCGCTGGATGAAATGTGTGCAATAAGTCCCACATGGCAGGTGTTATCTTTCATGTTGTGACTGTGTTTTAGTGGGAAACGAGTTAACGGGAAACACCAACCTGATCACGCATTACAACCTGGAACACGCATACAACAAATTCTGTGGGAAGAAGGTGAAGGAGAAACTCAGCAACTTCCTGCCAGAGTTACCAGGTTGGTGTCTCATCATGTCACTGCATTGACCATGTTTCTGCTTTTTGTCCTAGAGTCAAAACTGTTAACGCTGTCCACTGGTTGCTACTTCTGGCTTGCTTAAGGATTTATCAAAACAAACCATCCAGTGCCCCCCACCATAATGCATGACCCGCTGACTCTTTCCTCCCAACAAAAGCAAAGAAATGGGTGCTTAATGAAACCCTAAAATGCAAATATGTTTTACACCTTTATCATGTGTTGCTCAGACTTACGCCTGTCATCGCTGGTCTTTTGATTTCCATTTCCCCACTCACTCCTACATGTTCTGTATGTTCTGTTGCCGTAGGTATGATCGACTGTCCGGGTACTCAAGACGGCAGCTCGTTGCGCTCACTCATCGATAAGCCTCCAGTTTGTGGGAACTCCTTCAGTCCTCTGACCGGCGCACTGCTCACAGGCTTCAGACTACACACAGGACCGGTACAAACTGAACACACAACATGTTGATTCAGATCAATAAATGCATTAACACTACCATGGGCTATCCTAACCCATTTTGTTGGGATATTCTGATGTGTTTGTAATTCGTGTTCTTTATTTCTGTTTTATTGTTGTATAAAATACAAACATGCATTCATGTTATTTATGTTTGTTTTTTTACAGCTCCCAGAACAGTACAGACTGATGCACATACAGCCTCCAAAGAAAAAGAGCAAACACAAGCACAAACACCACCGACCACAGGATCCATTACCACAAGGTATGACATTAACTATGATGTACTGTGTTGCACTAGGTACAAAACCGCAAAGGATTGTGACATGTTTTCAGGCAGTTGACCCTTTTTTTGTTATCCCACAGAAACTCCATCAGACTCTGATCCCAAGAAGAAGAAGAAAAAGAGAGACGATGATCCAGACCGCAAGAAAAAGAAGAAAGACAAGAAGAAGAAGAAGGTAAAAGAATCTACTAAATCAAATCAATCAATCTTTATTTGTATAGCGTCAACTCATAACAAGTGTTATCTCGAGACACTTTACAAAAAGCAGATAAAAGACCTTACCCATTGTTATGTTACAAAAAGCAGGTAAAAGACCTTACTTAATGCTATATTACAAAGACCCGGCTTCATCCATCATGAGCACTTTAGCAAAGCAGCAAAAGTTACAGTGGTAAGAAAAAACGGCTTTATTAAAAGGCAGAAATCTTCGGCCGGATCCCAGGCTCATGACGAAACAGCCTTCACAGCCAAGACTGCGTCAGGCTTGAAATTATTGGATTATTGACCCTAATGCCATTATTGGGAGAGGTAATGACCATTAGAAATCCGTATTTTGTCCTTCATGCATAAAAGTCTAAACTCTTAAATAAATGATCATAAAAATGTGTTTAAGTTGCCCCCAACACAAATTTAAGTTTGAGGGAGCTTTAATCCTCTTGGATTTCTTTTTCGCTGCTGGAGTGTGAAGGAGCAAAACTATCCTAAAGATAACAGACGTGACTTAATATTGTTGAGATCCGTGGTAACACTTTCATCCCCTCATGGTTCTCAGTACCTGGCACATTTTAGTAAATATTTACCAACTTTTAAGTTCTAGTTCAGTCTTCTGCCCCTGAGAAAACTATCTGAGAGTTTTGCCTTGTTCCAGCTAGATCTTAACTCTGTCAGTCCGCTTTGTCGTTGCTTGAGGTAGCGTACAGTGGGTTTATCTTTTTACCGAATAAAACTGCTGCTGGTAACAGAATGTAGGAGAACAACTGAGATTGAATAACTCAGTAAGTGTGAGCCCTCATCAAAACAGTCTGATAGAGAGCACAGTTCTGCGTAGAGCTGCAGACCTGTTAAATTTGTAGTTTTATCACTTTTTTACGGTGGCTGGGAAGTGCAAATCAAAATAAAATGTGAGACAAATTTACATTTTGACATTTTATAAAACAAAATTACAAATGGCAGAACACTTTAATCAATCCCCAAACAAATTTACAAACGACAGAGTCTTGACTGAAAGGGAGTGTACCAAATGCAGGAAGTGACCCGGAAGTGATTGAGTAAGGGGTCATTTAGTTTGTTTTGGCAGAAAGACTTGGCCGACTGTGACACGCAGTGATATGGAGTTTGTGGTGACAGAGAGATGTTTTGTGGAACTCATTTGAGCCAGATTAGTCAGTTTTGCTTCTCATATGGACTCTCAAACTTTTGAAGTATCCAACGTCTCTGAGGTCTGCAAATAACTCCATCCAGAACTGAGACATATAAATTAATATAATTTTATGTGTATACATATATGAATAACATCAAAATTAATTAATTAAAATTAAATTATCTGCCAAGTCTTTCTACAAAAACAAACTAAATGAGCCCTTACTCAATCCCTTCTGGGTCACTTCTGGCATTTGGTACGTTCCCTTTCCATCTAGATTCTGTTGTGTATATATTTGTTTGGGGACTGGTAAAAGTGTTTCACATCTTGTAAATTATGTTTTTCATAATGTATGAACACCCGCTTCACATCAGGTGTGGCCACTTAATACAATGTTTGGAAAACGTGGACTTATGTAATAACCCACAAAGGTTGATCTGTTAATTGCAAAACTCTGTGCCATACTTTTTCACCATTCTGTCCTTTCTGAGAAATGTATGTAAGGTTTCTGCTTCAAACTAAAATTTCCCAACCAGGTCTATAGTCCCCACAGCGGATCAAATACAGTATATTGAACATGGAAATTTCTATCAATGATCTATCGATGATCTGATATCAGAATTCGATATGTAGGCTCACTGATATCTTCCTGCTTCATGTCAGCTAGCCACAGTCAGAGCATCTGTGCACTAAGTTCCTGAGTATTTTGAGGTTTTAGGTCATTTCTGCATTCCTACTCACAAGAACAAGTCTGTTGAAAATTCCGGGTCACAGATGAATATGTTAAGTCTGATCCCATTGAATTCATCTGTCCCCCTCTAGAACCGCCACAGTCCCGACCACCCTGGCCTCGCTGGATCACAACCCAACAGCAACAGCCTCAGATAGACGAGAGCCCATTGTGTGCGTGCCTGAGATTGAATGTGTGTGTGGCTGTGTATTTTGTAAAATGATGAGTGTTTTTTTCCAGATAATTGTATTATTGGCAGAATGTTTATGAGAGGGCTTGATAGACATAATGCTAATGGATGTGTGACGTGTCGGAGAGAGACAGGAGCCACAACACAATGATGAGTTGTTGCTCATTATGTGTGTGTGATGATGTCAAATGTTACAGAATAGTGTAAGAGGCAGAGAGCTGCTGCTGTTGAGCTGAGTGGTGTTATGAATGACTGAGCAGAGACTGTATGTCCCTCTTCGACTCTGTTGTGATATCTTTTGACCAGAATGCCAAAATCAAATAAACTTTGGTTATCATCTTTACTTGTGTCTCCTTCACTTATAGGAGTTTTTCACTACCAATGAATCACCTGGTGCTGCATTGAGACAGTATGTATGCATTCAAACATTGATTTATCAAATTGACAAGCGGGATATATTGACTTAATGCAGGAAAAAGAGATGTGAATTTAGCATAACATACTAACATTTTTCCCAAAGGGTAACCTTAAAGACAGAACATGTTACGATACAGGCGTGAAAAATAAGATAAAGCAAAAGAAGAGGATAATAATTTCTCTTTTTGGAGTCTGTCAGAGGCTTTAATTTAACTATGAACTCTTAATATTTCAGCCAAAAACTAGCTTGTCAGCTACCACAGAGGTTTACCTACAATTCTTAAAAGGCAACTCACAGAGCTACAAAGAGGTTGTAGAGTTGTTGCTGGATCACCAGATCAGTGATTTAAAATGTTACAAATAACTCTGTGGCATGCGGAAAGGTAAGACAAAAACTTCACCAACACATATTGAATTGCACTTTATAGTACGCATACTAAACAACACAAAGAACAGACAAAAAAAAGTCACCACCAAACTGAATCGACACCTTTGACAATCAACAAAAACCAAACTGCACTGTGAAAGAAGGCATTTCTGTTATTTTTCTTCTGTTTGTTTTCCTGAGGAAAAGTGCCGCAGTATCGACTCGCTCCCAGTCTCTACACATGGCTTTGGTATACAGAGAAAGACGTTTGGCAGAAGCATTAATTTCACATTAATATCTATTGCAATGAAGCCAAGATGGCAGCAAAGGCACAGACTTCAACTCAAATGGTCTCCTTCAAAATGAGTGAGCGAAGAATTAAGAAGTTGAAGACATTTTATATATGATGAACTACAACGCAGCAAAGAAATACTTCCAGAAAGACAGAAAAGACAGTCTCGATGACAAATACTTAGTCAAAAAAGTAAAAGATTATACATTACAACTGATTTCATACATCTACAGGATACTGTTGTGTGCAGAACAAATGTGTAAAAAAAGATTTTGTTGTAACTTTGGATGAAAGTACATTTTTCGGTTTGGGTCTACAGCTGTCTGAAATGTTTCTTTGTGATTTGGATGTTTAAGCAGAAAAACCACAGCAACAGCAAGTTTAACCACATCTATCAGTATATATATTTTAATATACCGTACACACCCATATATAGTCAAGCAAGCTGAATATGTAATAAAATAAAGACACACCTCGGTTCTATTTACAAAAAAACAATGGAGGTCTCTTTGCTCCATCAGAACATGATAAGAAAAAGTAGAATAAACAGAAAAATCATCATAGCTTCATATATAATAAGCACACTACAAAATAACAGAAACAAATGCTTCCCTTTTTAATACTACTGCAGCTAGAGTATAAAAATACACTTAAATACATTTTTTATACACACACTAGTTCATTTCTGTGCATAAAGCAGTAAAAAGTGTTTCATTTCATCGACACACACACACACACACACACACTGTGTGTTAGAACTTTCAAAATCAGTCCTATATTTCCTTGTTTAATTTCCATGAAAAACAATTAGAAATGCAAGGGCCGAGGAACATGAATGCACAGGGATAAATTCTGAAGTGATATAATGTTTTTTTGGTGGGGCTGGGGGGGGGGTATTATTTACTAAAATTAAAGATGATGGACAGAATTGAGAGTCGGTTGTAGAGAGAAGGTACAAAAAAGGAAACAGTGGAGGTAGATGTGGTGTCTCTACAACCAGCCTAACTGTGCGTGTACACGAGTGTCTTTGATTATTCATATTCTGAAAGTGTCCCAAAAGCTTCTTTAATCGTACCAGAAGTTTGGTATTTCGATATGTATATGCATTGTCTGATAGCTTCTATTCTTTAAACAGTGTTTTATAGATATCTTAAGCAAAATGGATAACTACGGAAGCCAAGAGCTTGCCATCTTCAGACCAAAATGAATTTGAGTAATTTCAAAACAGAACATCTTCGATACACATATTATCTCCAGAAAATTCCTTTTTCTTCCTCAAGATCAGAGGATATTTTTGGAAAACTAGAAAAAGACTGTTTAGTTTGCGAAAATAGCTTTTAGTTCACTTGTGATAACAGATATTCTGGCTTGATAAAACAAGAGGTATTTTTCTCAAATCTACCAACAACTCAATATCTGATGATTTTGCCACAACATTAAAAAAAATAGCATTAGTGGCTGTTCTTGGCTTCCGTAGCTTACAGTAGAAACAGCACAATATACTCCAAGTTTGCTTACTTGAGTAGAAAGTGTAACTTTCCTGATATATTTCAGCTGTTCTTTGGTGTTAGCGAGGATTGTCATGATTATCAGAAGTCTTTAAAAAACTATTAAACAGTTTTTCAAGTACTAAAACCCCAGGTCTGACACACAAGCCAAACCAGGATGTGTGCATATGCCTTTCATGTGCGTGTGAATGAAATCTATGGCTTAAAATCACACTAATTTGGCTTTTTGATCTAGGCCAAAATAAATATACAGCAACAATGATGATGACACTGTTTTTCCATTTTTAGAGGAACTTGAAGTCTACATCTGACTCAATACAAACACAGGGATTCCTATATACTGTTATTTGGATTGTTGGGAGAGCAAAATGTGGACCAGCAATGACCAAAGCAGAAATATTAAAACTAAATATTCGTGACTGAGGAGACTGTTGGTGCTCATTTTGAAGGCACATAAAGATTGCTCCTTCAGCTCTACAAATTCAAGACTCTGCTGTGTCGCTTTAAGCCTCCACAGCGGAGAGGCCATTGCTGTGTGATTTGTAGCCGTTGGTCTCGGTGTGTCTGAGCGCCTGCATCTCCTGTTCAGCAGCTCGCTTGTCTCTGGCCTCCTTTTCCCTTATCAGGTGCCCACGATGGTAGAACAGGTAACCTGGCAACAGGAAGCCAGCCAATGAGAAGATCAGCAGGCCGAGGTTGATCTGAAGGAAGGAAGGATTGACAAAGGAGGAAAGTTACAGCTACAGCCATATACAGATATGTTCATGCAAAAATGCAAGCAAAACACCGATCAACTTTTTTCTTTGGAAAATTGTTTGAAATATGTTTTTAAAAAAATGCAGAAACAAGCCAAAATACAGCTAAGTGAGATACGTTTTACTATTAAGTAAACAGGTTCAAACCACTTTCATATTGCATTTTCTGAAACAAACAGCCTGGACTTAAAATGGACACACAATGGACTGGTTTAAATGGACACAATCCAGATGCAAAGAAAGGTACAGGCGGCTAATGGGCTGTATTCGATTACTTAATCATTCGTAGATGTGCTTGAGGCATACCGTGAATCAAACCCATCAATGTCATTTCCTCTTTACAATACAGACAATTTCAGTCATTATTTGTAAATAGAAGGAAAAAACTGCGCCATTAATTTTAGACCACATTTGGTCAATGGCCAGTCTATTCTGCTGCATCAAGATTAAAGGACAGCAGAATTGTTTCACAAATTAAACCTGATGGCCTTAAATGTGGGATAAACATGCGTCCTCACCCAGTAGGGGTCTCCCTGCAGGGGTCCGACCATGGCAATGAAGAGTGGCTGCTGGAGCAGAGCAATCACAGCGCTGATCATGGACTGGAGGCCTGTCAGGGTGCCGAAGTGGTTGGATGGGTAGCTGTGGGAGATAAACAAAGTATAATTACTAATGTAAGTTCTACATTTAGAACCGGTAGTGGCCTTTCCTTTTTAACTCATCTGTGCTCACTCTCCCCTAACATAATATTGCTGGGAGATTTTAATATACATATGGATAAAATGAGGACTTAATTTGCTGCTCTGGCGTCACGCCTCTTGACTGCACTGCAGATGACCTTCCCATTTCTGATCACATGTTAATGTCTTTCAATGTCAAACTTACACTATCCAAAACTAATCTGCCACGTGTCATTTCATATCGCGACATCAAGGACATTAACTTAGCTGCTCTCTCCAGTGGCATTGACAGCCTCCCCAGCATAAACTGTTTATCCACCCCCAATGAACTGGTTTCTCATTACAATGATGGTCTTCATAGCCTCTTAAATACCCTGGCTCCTTTAAAAACCCGGACTGTTTCCTTCACCCGCTCTGCTCCATGGTTTACGCCTGAACTTCGCCAACTAAAAACAAAAGGCCGTCGCCTGGAACGTCTCTACAAGAAAACTGGACTTCTTATTCACAGAGAAATGTACATTTACCACATTCTCCACTACAAGGACAGTCTCTCTACAGCTAAATCAACTCACTACGCCGGTATCATCAGCTCAGGTGAAGGGAATACAAGGACACTGTTCTCCATCGTCAACAACATACTAGGACCACCGGACTCTCTCGCCTCTCATCTGTTTTCCACCGCCTATTGTAACTCTTTAATGTCATTTTTCACTGCCAAAGTAGACAAGATTCACCAGCAACTGACTCCTAACATCTCATCTCTCCCAGTCTTCTTACCCCCTCTCTCTCGCTCACTTTGAAGTTTCAAACTTCCTGCTGTTGCTGAAATATCTGGCCTCATTCAGAAATCAAAACCATCTACCTGTCCATTAGACCCTCTTCCTACTGTCCTGGTAAAAGCTTGCCTACCCCCTCTGTCTTCCCTAATAATGGTCATCACATATTCCTCCCTCACCTCTGGTCTTGTTCCCATTTCTTTCAAGTCAGCTTCAATAACCCCTATACTTAAGAACCACCAAACCCACCTCCTCCCTCCTGCCCACTTCCCTGACTGATTGCCTGCAAGAAATCAAATCCTGGTTCTCCTGCAACTTCCTCAAATTAAACAGTGACAAAACCGAGCTTCTCCTCATCAGCACCAAATCAACAATCTCTAAACTCAACGGTTTTTCTCTGGCTATTGACCACTCCTCAGTTTCGCCCTCCCCTCAGGTTAAGAGTCTGGGTGTCATCGTAGACAGCACACTATCATTCCAAGCTCACATCAATAATGTCACCCGGCCTGCTTATTTCCATCTACGTAACATTAATCTCCTCCGCCCGTCCCTCACTCCCAGCAGTACTGCCTTCCTCGTCAACACCCTGGTTACATCCTGCATTGACTACTGCAACTCCCTTCTCTTTGGTCTCCCTCTCAAGTCCATCCACGAACTCTGCCACTCGCATCATCACCAGAACGCCCTCTGTGAATCACATCACCCCTGTCCTACAGCAGCTTCATTGGCTCCCGGTTAAACATCGCATCACCTTCAAAATTCTGCTCCTCACCTTCAAGGCCATCCACAACCTCGCTCCGCTTTACCTCTCTGAACTCCTGCACATCAACACACCTACCCGCACTCTCAGGTCTTCTTCTTCCATTCAACTCACTGTACCACCCGTCCGCCTATCCACCATGGGGTCCAGGGCCTTCACCTGCTCTGCCCCCCACCTCTGGAACTCCCTCCCACCACAAATCCGTAATATCGACTCTCTCTCTATTTTCAAATCTCATCTCAAAACACATCTTTTTAAACTTTCATATTCAGTCTGATCATTCTCCACCCGGTCTCATAACTCCCTTACATCCTGTACATTTGTGTTTTTAATGTTAATTTTATCATTGTGTTGTTACTTTGTTGTTTTTATCTCTGCTCTGTAAGGTGACCTTGAGAGTTTTGAAAGGCACCTTTAAATAAAATGTATTATTATTATTATTATTATTACATTTATTAAGGAAAACAGTTATAGGAGCACAAAAGAAGTCGATGTGTTTTGGTAGAACTTTCAGCTTGCAGAAAATCAAAAACCAACATATCGTTGAGCAAAAACTTATGATTGTTAGGAGGTTTTTTTTCTATGTTGTTGGGGTGCAAGAGGGCACTAATCAGCTTGTCACAGAGATGTAACACTCTCAGGGGATGCAGCACTCACACAGCGGCGTAAAGGCCTCCGCAGCAGGAGTGGATGAAACCTCGGACCATAGTGTGCAGGACGAAGGTCAAGACCTGAAGGAAAACAAAGCAACACAATCAATGTGACTATTTAACTGTTTGATGGTTCTTTTTCTGCTGTGGTGTGTGTGTGTGTGTGTGTGTGTGTGTGGTGTGTGTGTGTGTGTGTGTGTGTGTGTGTGTGTGTGTGTGTGTGTGTGTGTGTGTGTGTGTGCGCGCTACCTGTAGGGGCAGATTGTCTACGAGACAGCAGCTTCCAAAAGCAAGCAGCAGCAGATTGGTGAGGATGAAGGCTCTCATGGCGTTGGTCAATTTCTGGATCTTGCGGTCTCTCATGGGTTCACTGGTCTGTCTGATGAAGCACACACACACACACAGGAGTTTATAACGTTATAATCTTCATCTTAATTTATTCTGTTTGTAGATTTGACCCCAACCTCCCATGTATTTACCCCTTCTCTGTGATTGAGCCAACAGTCTTCTCATCTGCACATTCCTTCATTCTCCAGTCCATGATGTAACCAATCAGAGGACACGTAGCCAAACACAGCAGCTGCAGCGTGCCGAAGATGGATGAGTAGAAACTCACTGGAAAAAAGGAATTAATAAATCAAAATAAGAAGAAAAAAAATTCCACAAAAAGTTAAAAGACGCTATACAATTTCTATTCCTTTAACTCACCTTTCTCCTCTGCCTCAATCACCAGCTGTTCAGTCGCTGAAATATAAAAAAAACAACTCTTTCAGTATCTCTCTTTGAAAAGGTTAACTAAATAACACAAAAAGACTGTAATTGTTTTGTGTGAATGTTGCTGCAGGCTGGACACTCACGATGCACTTCACCATGTGTGACCATGAACTCGAGCATCTTGTTCATGGCTCCCATGAAGAAGATGATCCTTAGCTGGGACATCCCCATGGTAACCAGACTCCACAGGAAGATGGGAGAGAAAACAGACCGCCGAAAGGGAACAGCATCTGAGGGAGGGAAGACGCTGTTTTATTCGTAGTGAACTCATTTGCTTTAATATACATCCTGTGTATGAAAGAAGTCTGACCTTAAGATGTGTCATATGAAGTCACATTGAGTATGTTTTTTTTTTTTTTTTTACTCACTGTGTGCAGCGTCAGTTCCATTAGGAAGTTTCTCTAAGGAGTGTCGGACGTCTCCATTTTTCTCGCTCAGTCTCTCTGCAACACCGTTCTGGTCTGGAGATGGCAGCTCTTGCACTGTGAGGATCTTACTGTTATATATAAAACACACACACACACACACACACACACACACACACATACACATTGTAGTTAGAGTGATGTTCTGCTACATTTTTTGTGCCTCTGTAAAATGATATAGTAACCGACAGGCAGCCAAACTCACCTGTAGTCGACCTCGTCAGGTGTTGGGAATCCTTCAGCAGGCCAGTTGAGGAAGCAATTACAAAAAACAAACCCAGCAAGACCTGCCCACATCCACATGATCACCTGGAAGGAGACGCCTGCATCATAGATCAGCTGGGGAGGTGAGAGAGGGGGAGAATGATTTGTTAAATTTGATAAACAATTTGCGGACACTTTTAAAGTTGCATTTATTCATTATTTGTCAAAGCGCTAAATAAAACGTTTATTTCTGCAAAAGAAGCCGATATTTGTTTACCTTGACTCCAGGGAAAGTTACAGCAGAGGAGGCATAGGAGCCGATCATCAGAGACATGACAGTGGAGCTCAGAGAACCAAACATGTTTGGGAGCTGAGGGGGACAATGGAGGGGAAAACAATATTTTCATTAAGACAAAATAAATGACAGTTTCCACACTTAACAAACGTTTTTCATCCAGACACGGGCAATGTGACAATGGTCTGAGCCAAGCCCGAAAATGTATCAATAATCCAGATGTAGTTTGTGATTCTGACCAGCAGGGGGCAGAGTGCTGCCTTGTTTATGCAGTATAACAAAGTTCCCCTTAAAGCTGAAGAAGGAAACTTTGAGAAATCTGCAGCAAAAGTAGCTGAAAGTTATTTTGAAATGTCACAGCCAACTCCCTGAAACATGTTAACATCCATAAATGACTGAATTATGATTAACAGAGTGATTACAGTCCAGCAGTGACCACAGTGCATTTCATTAACTGAACGCTATTGGGATGTTGAGGGAACATTAATAGGCATAAAAAAAAAAAGATGCATTTAAAATATATTGGTTACCCTATCTATGAACTGATCCAGACAGGAGTTTTCACACAGTAACACTTCTCTCTCTCCCAGCAGAGCAGACTCATTAATAAAATATTAGTTTCCATGTCCTGAGGAAACTGAAAACTAAGTTACGACCTAGTTGGGCTCTGACACTATAGTGCAAACACAGGATAAGCTATATTCAGGCTAATTTTCATCGTTCATACTTGCTGTTTCAACATATTCTTTGAGTAAGGATTAAAAACTTGGAAGCTGATCTATAGAAAACTCCCGGTGAACTATGGGGCACTCGGTTGACCCAGCGTGGAGCATGTCTGACACGCCGAATAGGGGAAAGGTGGCGGGCACCAGGCACTAAAACATCATATATTAGGTTGACCTATTTACAGTAGTAAGAAGCTTGGCCAACATAACAATGATCTATTGTGTTGCCAGCACACTCGTTGTCCTTTGATTAGAGTTTTAAATGGGTCAATAACGATTATAAGATCACATGTTTGGGATTTCAGGAGTGCTGCATTGCAAGCTCGCTATTCTCCCCAAACGCAGACCACAGAGCTAGTGTTCCCTAATATCACTGCTGGGTCAGAGTTCACCCTGAACGTCAGCGCGAGTGCCTTTCTCCATCTCCCTCAGTTGTGTTCACTTTTCACTCATCTTACTGAGGCTGGAACAAATGATGTCAAGTTAGAGAAACGAAATAAAGAAGCCAGAACATGAAAATATTCAGAGCTTTTTTAGACTGTCCAATACAAAATATTAAGGGCCTCTTGAATTTGAGTTAAAATTGGAGGGCAGAGAGGTGGATGTAAAGCGGCAGAAGGACCCCGGAGTTGACCATTTTATTGTTATCTTGAGATGAGCATGTGCAATAAACACATGTAGAAAGTTTCAAATGTTCACAATCCTAAAAAACAAAAAGCATTTTATGTAAAAAAAGCGTACAGCATGTGTACATTGTACCTACTGGGCAGAGGCCAGGATGTAATAGCCATACATTTACACAATTCAAATGCAGTCAGATGAAGCTAAAGCTAAGTATCAGCTACCACTCAGATTGATTGGTGCCAATTTAGTGATGAGGAAAACAGCTTTTAGGATTTATTTTGGATTAAGGAGAGACTCGCTGTTATACTCACAAGGACTTTGTAAAAGAACTGCAAAGACACCAACTGTAAGCTACAGCTCATACGCACTTTTTAGTATTTGTTTATTATTCACACTCAGTTTAGTAATCGCAACATTCAACAGTGTTATCACAAATCACATATCTTTCTCAAATCGTGCAGGCCTACTAACCACGTTATAAAGTGGATATAGAAAAGCTGTTCGCATCATTTGAAGACATGGAGCCACCTGATTGGTCTTTACTTCTCCTGAGGACAATATCTGGATAGGTAGCTGCTAAACCTACAGGCAGATAGCTGCTGACTTTGCCTTTAGGTGCTTAACGGAGCACACAGTCGGGGAGAGTTCTTGTGGTCAACAAGTGACAAATTTCACATCTTTGTTGTCTGTTTCTAGTAACCATGGCACTGCATAATTGTTTTTAAAGGCTAGGTATTCCTTGGTGGGTCAGAACCTCCCATAAAGTCTTTCCAGGAACCTTTTTTGCCTGTCTGGAAATTCCTTAAGCTATTCATGGCTTTTAAGTCCAGCACGTCAGATGGAACTAACAAGTGGAATAACCAGGGTGCATTTACATGTTCTTTTTGTCAGAAGTTTTGTTATCTGGAGACTAGGCATGCAGTGTTTGTGCATGGACACATTAGGTCAAATCAGAGGGCTGACAAAACGACAACTTTAGAAGGTAAACACGGGTGAAAAAGCGTTCCCGAGGATGTTGCACAGAAGCCGCCGTTGAGCGGGAGGAGAAAAACATCCCGGAGAACAGCCGTCCTCATTCAGAGCTTCTGAGAATTGAAATACTTCACGGCTGGTCTGTGGCCAGGAGATGTACAGTGCTGTACTCTCTGACTTGTATTTGTAGTATGTAGGCGAGAGGGCCCTCTTAACACACAGCAGAGTTTGCATCTCTGACAAAATGTTAAAGCAAAGATATTCCAGTCATGTGAGATGTTGGCTAACACATGTTTGTTTTCAAACCCATGGAAGCAGTAACCATGATGTGTTTGAATGATTTGTGCATGAGGCAGAAAGAGAGAAAATGCATGACATGTGTGTCTGCATATGCCAGCATCAGGCATGTTTCCCACCCCTGTGTTCTGACAGTTCTCATAAAATACATATTTCACAAAAGGGCCTAGCAGCACATGTCCTGCATTCTAACACTGCCAACTGAGGGGGGGGGGGTATTGATAGGAACATGTGACTGCAGAGAGAGAAACACGAGGGTCACCTGGTGTCAAAAAGTCACACACAAACGGGGCTTTGGCCTTTCACTTGTCACGACTAATCAGTCCAGGCTCTGCTCCTGCTGTGCTCACTCACTTGGGTGTTGTAAGGCTTTGGCACCGAGTTTAATTAAGATCTTAACTGCACCGAGAAATGGCCAAACTGTAGCATAATGAGCAGTGACGTTTGATGCGGTTCTGAACATGTGGACGACAGGTGGAAAATAGGAGGAGAAAGTGGGACAAAAGTGAATATGAAAGAAGCCACACAGAGGGAGGTGTATAAAAATAATCAAGATTAGACGATTTAAAAAAAAAAAAAAAAAAGGGTTGTGGGGGTAACATTTTTGAGATTTGACTGATCTCCCCAAGCCACAGCTGCAGCTTCTCTCTCTGTGGAGATCCCAGCAAGAAACACTAAACCACGGCTGATTAGTACCGGCTGATTCTGTTCACCTAACCTTTCTGCTGCCCTCTCTCACAAAAAAAAAAGATTTCTTATCCTTCACAGTGTGGGTAGAGTGCACTGCTGTCATAGCTACACAGAACTTATACAACACCCTTTTAGATTTCTTGGCATTTCATAACGAGCATCAAAGTCATCCCCTGAAGACGCTCAGCCTCTGAAACCAAAGGTGACGCGTAGAAAACAAACAGCTCTTATAATTGCGGCTTTCTTTGCTCGCATGTGATCAGACAAGCCTCTGCATGCAGCCAATTGTATCTGACTCATATTTCCCTTTAAATTTTAGCAGCATGCGACACTGAAGCTTTCTGACGTGCTGTACATAGTTACCATACAACACTGATGGTCGTAAAGTTTTTGAGAAGAAGGATGTCCTGAAGGTTATGTGTTTCATGCAAAGAGGAAGGGAGAAGGCATTCACTCAATGCCCTTTTAGGACCTTCAAAACCACAAGGGTGTCTTCTTCGCACACGTTACTGACACCACCGATCTGTTTAAACCAGTTATTAGGAAAAACTGGTGCAGTGCAAGATCTCTTCACGGCTTCATTTTTACAGATCACTTTTTGAAATGAAATCTGAGTAAAGACAATGCAGCCATGTTACAGATACAGGAACTTTAACCTTCATCTAAATTACATAAATGACAACTGTGTTTGTAATTTAAGCACACGGTTTTTGGTGTTTTAAACTTAAGCTTATTATATTCCACTTATGATGACATACTATTAGTAATTGCATCACATACACAAAAGACATCAGGGGACATTTCCCTCATCAACGTGAACGGTCCACAGAGACTGTTTCTTGTTTTGTAACCTATTTAGAGTTATTATTATCAACCATACGGTTTGAATCATGACGGCATGTGTGTTTGTCCTTCAGTCTTCGTGCTCTGCCGTCACTAACTCTTCAAAACAACAACAGTGTGGAGGTCAGTTAATGTTGGTAGACTCAGCCGTGCAATCACAGACAGGCAGAAAGACACAGGGGTGACACAGGGACAAGAAGAGGAGCGGGTGATATAAGTTACTTAAGTGTGTGATTATTAGAATACAAATAGCACAGTGCCTTTCTGCCTTGACTGTGGGTGTGTGTTTGTGGTGTTTGTGTAAGAATGCAAATAGAGCAGGTTGAAACATGCTTTATGCAGCTTGATAGATACATTCCTCATTTTGACTGATATGATCCAGAGTGTAAAACCTCTGATTCTCTCGATGAACTTAACAAACTAGTTGTCTGTTATTTCAGTGTAAGCTTTATTGAAATCATTGATTCCCTCTGGATCATGTTGTCTATCACCATAGCTCTTGATTTAAAGCTGTAAAAGCAGTATATAAGATGTGAACCCAAATGACCATTTTTTATGGCTGAATTGAAGTTCCTATGTCTATTCCCGTTTTATGAAAGCCCAGGTCTGGCTTTTCTCTGAAAAAAATCTCATGTGAAGCACAGTGATGTGTTTTTACCACCGGGAAATGTTTGGGAGTTGCTCTTAGTGTGAGGCGAACAGAGATTTTCAAGATTGTGACTCTTAATAATTGCCCAGTTACTTAGCCCGCCCTTACAGTTTCCTCGAGATCATGGTCAGGTCTTCTACTGCTTAAGCAAAATACTCAGTCCAGGAACTTAAAATCTTGTGTTGCACTTACTTTACGATGTACGTCGATTTGGATGAAAGGGTCTGCTAAATGAATTGTGGAATTGTAGGATATGTTTATGATGTCTTTTAAAACAAACCTGTCCAGGGTGTATCCCACATTTAGCTAAATCACAGCTGGGATCAGCTCCAGCCCACATGACCCAAAACGGGACAAGCAGTAATTTCTTTTTCAGTGGCTTTAAAAAAGATGTATAACTGACCACTAACAAGACGTGACCTGCCGAGGGATTCCAGCATGCAATTAGTCCTTTTACTGTGAGCATAAATATAACCTAGAATAAATGAGAAATTAGAAACTAACTTAATGTTTTGTTTGTAAAATCGCCATGTCGTATGTTTTTTTCACATTTCCAGCAGGTAACAGTGAGATTATCTGCAGTGGCACAGGTGACTGTAAAGGTGCAGAATGTTTCATTTGAGCAGAGATTCACAGACAGACGAGAGACTTGGTGATTTTTTTTTTTGTTTTAACAGAGGCGAGCTTCAGTCAGGGGGAAGATCACAAGAGAGGGTCATCTGACCAAACTCAGCTTGGACTTTTATTATCTAAACATCTGTTTCATGTTGGACCCCCTGTGTGTACATAACCATGTACATGCATTTGCACATTGACATGTGTGCACAGTCACTGACTTTTTTTTCTCTGTTCGCTGAGAGCAGAGAAAAACGAGCTTGAAGAAAAAACGACAAGAACAAAGGGGGAACCGAGGATGTGAGAGTGTAAAGAACAGAGGCGGCCGGAGAAAGTGTGGCCTTGAGGAGTTTTGAGCAGAGGTGAGTGGGCTGAGCTTTTGGGGAGGGTGTGTGGACAACTGGAGGCCGTTATTGGTGGAAACACAAAAGGGACGGTTTGAATCTGGGAGAAGTCACATGCAGCTCTGACGGAAACTTTTGTGAAGTGAAACACGCGCTGTACTGACACACAACACCAACCTAAATACTTGGCAGGACAAAGTGAGGAGGCAGCAGCAACAATAAAACACACTTGATAATGTTGGTACCAGCTGACACATCACACAGAAACACACAGGCCTGGCGTGAATGCAAACAAACACAGCTCCCAGTCACAACCCACACTGTTTCCTCAGCTGAGATAAAAAGAGGCCCCGGCACAGTGGGACTCTCAGCTACCAAGACTTTTCTGCTCATTGGTTCCAGGAACACAACGCTACATCTCAGAATCCCACTTGTATAACCACAGAAGAGGCCTTTTTGTCTTGCATGACCAGGCAAATTTGGTGCACAATTATGACTCAAATGCCCAACAATGATCGTGTTAATTGTGCCGACAACATGCGTGTTTAACACTGTGTAAAGAGATAAGGGAGAAGGTGGATGCTATGAAGTCTTGTTCAATTCCTCTCATTCAATCGTTTGCATCTTTAACACTGAGACAGAACAAGGAATAAAAATAAACTATTTGTTTCCTTTGGCTGAGAAACAGACTTGTATCACTTACAACAGGTTTAAATCGCAAACTGTTCCTTCCAATATTACAGTGAAACTCTCATTTGTTTCAGTTATCAGAAGATTAAAACAGCTTTCTATAAATAAAAGCCTATAAATAACACACACACTCACACACACTCACAGTAACTTTTGGAGTTGGTCAGGGACTCAGCATGTAGTGCTGCCAAAGACATTATGACCATCTTATCCAATTTCAGGCTTGCAAACAACACAAAAACAAATACCAAACATTGCATTACAGAGGTGATTTGTCTTTGATTTTATCCCTTTCATTCACTCTTTTCCTCCTGTAGTTTACAAAGATTGATAACAAACACAGTCGGCATTTAAGTACAGGTGTAGCTTTGAATGTGGACAGAACCAGAGCCACAAAAAAAACACAGGAAACTTGCAGCAGAAACTTACTGACTCACTCATTGAGGCATTTTAACCGAAGTCAGATGGTTTTCAAAAGTAAACAAAGACACAATGATCACAATTCATCTTACATAATCAGAAGCTGTTTTTTTCCCACAATGTTTAAAAAAATCCACAGTGGATCTGTTTTTTTAGAGAGGGTCGATTACTGTAGCTATCAATGAAGGAACAAAAGGACCAGTTATTACACCACAGACATGAATTGTCTTCCTTTGTAAGCACCACTTTCATGCTTCATATTCCCCTCCACTTGTCAGTTACAATGTGTGTCTATTCATGTTTTCTGTTGGTTTGTGTCTCACCGTAAGAGAGGTGAAGGTCAGGCAGATTCCACCAAAGCCATTCAGGGACAGAGCCAAGAAAATGAGCGCTGACAGAACTACAGAGAAAAAGACACAGATGAAGGGTTAATGTTGAAATCTGCAGTCTTACCAAGAATGCAATGTGTATTTTCTAACTTTACAGACTTTAGAGAGACATACTGCATCCTGGTGTGTGTTCAATATTCAATAGCCACTATGTAAACAGAAGAAAGTAGAGCAATAATCCTCCAAAAAAGTTTCTGTGACTCATTCTAACACTAATACATTTCATTACTGATATTTGGGAAAATAACTGCACCATGGATTATCCCCCCCCCCCTCCATGTTACATAATAAATGAATTCTACGCATACTATGTCAACCTGCAGAATGCCGCTCCAGATGAACCCTGGGATCTTACAGTAAACCATGACCTGCAGAGATTTGCTTTCAGCTGTCAATCAATATGAGCAGCTGAACATTATAAGCAAAAATCACTTGTGCAACAGTTTGGAGTCGACTGATTCAAACTTGGTGTGCTATATTACTGTGTGCATGTGTTTCTGTGTTATTACTTACCATGTGGGTCATGTGCAGACACGGCCATCATAGCACAAGACAGGGCGAAACAAGAGCTGTAACAAAACATGGGATCATTTTAACGACTTCGACACCAGATCATGAACTTGGATGCCAAGAGTCACTTCAGTCAGTTAGAGTTTGTAAAGATAAGTCAACAGACGCTCTCGGAGGGTCATGATAAAGAAACCCTCGCTGACTCAACAGCCTCTGTGTTTGTAAATGCCTGAGTACCTCATGCCACATCAAACAAGTGAAAGTTTAGACAGTGTTAGTCATAGCCAGCAGATACTTAAGGGATTTCAAATGTGTCTTCTTATTCAAAGCAACAAGACAGCAGTTAAGTCATTGATCGTCTGACCAACACTGAACCTGTCAGCGGTTTAACAGTCTGAACATTAAATGAAGATAAATGTCTTCTTCTTCTCTTTGTATCTAATTTCATGGCTTCCCCCTTTTGTTAGTCTGTGGGCCTTTTTTAATTCCACACTGTGTATTTTCACAACACTGACGTTAAAGCTGGTAGTTCCTCTGGACAGAACAGTGCTGTGTGTAGTATGAGAAAGTACAAGTTGTGTTTACATACACACCCCCTCACAAAGACTTTTACTACTTACTACCAAAACCATTCTTACACCCAGACTCACTGGTCTTCTGCCCCACCTACATTCATTGACACACAAACAATGAACAAAAGGCACAATCACAGTCCTCCCACTGTGGGAATGTGATCCGTCTGCTTTTTACTATAAACTCAAACTACAACTAACTGCTCTTTCACTTCAGAATGTCCCTGTTCAGAGTATTTATGAAACAAAAAAGAAAAATGAGTAGGTATCTTAAAAATGTCTTTTGCTGTGTTTTAAAGGGCCCATATTATGCTTTTTCTGGTTTTATATGCTCTTTAGTGTGTTTTCCATGAACCCTGTGCATGTTTAGCCACATCTATTTGCAAAAATTCAAAGTCCGCGGAAACGCGGCTTCTCCTACGTCCTCCTGTTAGCTGCAGCATTAGCTGCATGTAACGCTCGGTTCTAGCCCCCCTCGAAACAAAATTGTCAGTGTGACGTCTTGTCAGTGTGATATCACTGATCTAAGCCCATTGGCTCGTTGTGGAAAGCCCAGCAGCTCATGTTGCACGCCCATTAACTTCTGTAGCACGCCCACGATATGCCGTAGCCTGCGGTGCAAATGTTTATGCTCTCCTCGGAGGGAGCCAAAGTGGCTGCATTCCCAACATGGTAAAAGGGGCGGGACATTTGTTGAGCGACTGACCAATTACGGCAGAGCCGACAGGCCGACCAATCAGATCAGACTTGGCACACGTGGGGACTCTGAACGTGGGCACTTCAGAGCCTTAGAAAGAGTCAGAAGCGAGCCGGTGCATGGAGCGGCAGTTCATGAAAACAGACACTTTTTCGAACTTTAGCGATTGTGAACATACTTTAGTAGGAACATAGATTAAATATACGAACCCCAAAAAGGGCATAATATGGGCTCTTTAACACTCCAGCCCTTCAAGTGTGATGCATCTATTGTTTTTCCAAACATTACCTGCCCATCAGGCGGATTGGACGTGGCCCAAACTTGTCCATCAGGATACCAAGTGGAAGGGTGGTGGCACTTAGCAAGAAGGAACCAATGGTGAAGCCCAGATTCAACATCTCCTCCTGGTCCACACAACTGAGCCACTCCTCCACCTCCCCGCTGGTTGAGTTACCCAAAGACACGGCCACAGACTCGTTCACTGTAGGGAGGAATGAAAATAAAAACCCAAATGGTAGGATTTGTGCATTGAGCCCAATCAAAAAACCCGGACACAGTACATCGAGAAATAATTGGAAACTGCTGATGTTTTTGCGAATAGAAACTTTATGGATAAGAGCGATATCAAAGAGATACAAACATTAAGCATCAGGGTTATACTGCTTATTTTACCTGAGCACAGGTGGGAGTAGAAGCCTTCCCTTTTCAGCATAATGAGTAGGGAGCCCCAGCCCAGGAGCACCGCTGAACACAGCAAGTTTTCAATCACTGCCGTCACTGCCATCCACCAGCGCCTCCTGTAGGCCTGGATGAGAGATGGCGTCATCTCTGCTGTTTGAGGAAGGAGAGACAACGAGAGGAAAGAGGTGGATAGAAAGAAAAAAGTCAATATCAAAATTTATATTTAAAGTCTGTTGTTATTTTAGGTTTCTGGGAACCACAATCTCCCCGCATCTGAGGTGTACCTATCACATGGACACCAGTCAAGACAGAAATAGACTACGATGGATCAGATCAGGTCTGCTGAAAAACTCATGAGGGCCAAACTGCCCTCTATCCAGGACCTATTCCGGTTCAGGGTTAGGAAACGGGCAGGTGAAATCACTGAAGACCCCTCACACCCTGGACACAGACTGTTTAAACTCCAGGAGGATTTACAGAGCCCCGTACAACAATACAACCAAAATAGCTTCTTCCCCCGAGACTGTGACTCTGATGAATGCTTAATAGTCAAAAAAGTGTCAGAACAATCACTGTACGATAACCCTTGGACATATTTTTTCACATTGTTTAAGTACAACAAGAATAGAGCGTTCAGTGCTAAAATTGAGCACTGGATCGAGGGACATGGTGATTGGAGAAGGTGTTGCTTGTATACACACTGCTCTCTGCCCCAAAACAACACAAAACCTCGCTCAGGTGAAGTCCCTGTAGTTTAGATATTTTCTCTGTCAACTCGTCTAATGAGTGCCAATGTGACCAGTCTCTGTTTTGTAAATGCCAGTTGGGTGCCTGACACCTCACACTGTCATGTCCTCAGGAAACCTCCCACTGTGTTGTCTGCTAGGCGGCTATTTTAACCTTGATTTTGAACAGAGGAAACAATGTCGAGCCCACTTTTGTTTTGGAAATACTGACAGCACTTTAAAAGCATGACATTTAAATCTGAAAGCATCGCTAAGTCAGATTCTTGTTGCCTTTGAACAGCAGGAGAGCACAGGCCGGCTTTTTGTTCACAGGCACAAAATGGGTCAAAAGTGAGCGGGGATGCAGCTTTTATGTAAACAAACTTAATAGACACTAATGACGTGACTGACCAAACAGACGAGTCGGGTTAGTCATGACCGCCTGGAAAGTACACACAAGGTCACAAATTTGTCACATTAGCCTCTGACAATTAAAACAGGGGCAAACATACAGACAAACACGCACATTCTGAAAACCTCTAGTAGGAAACCAAGGCCCTGATATAATCAATTGTACCAGCTTGAAAAAGAAGTAGTGGAAAGAAAAACAGGAGGAAAGTCTAGTCCACTTTGAGGTGGGGGGGGGGGGGGGGGTAAAGGCCTCAAAGGAAGCACTTTCAGTAGTGCCTAATGAGGGCATCTCTTCAGCATGCTTCTCTCTGTGTGTGTAGTATGGGAGCTGGTGGACAGAGGACCTAATGGGGCTGAGTCGTCTGTGCGTGTGTGCACATGAGGCGCGTGTGTGTAATGCGATTATCCATGGCCCAGTGAACTGGCTTTATGCTGAAAAGAGTTTGAAAGGGGAGGATTTCTGTGTAACTGACACTCCAGGCTGAATACCCTTCAATACGTACACACACAAACACACACACACACACACACACACACACACACACACACACACACACACACACTCATCATACACACAACAAGGAGGTGTCAGAGCGAGACCGGGCGCGTTTTTTACCCACAAATAAACGTGTTAATTAACTCACAGGCGCACATAGACTTTAACTACTTGGCTGTGGTTGTCTGTAATCTGTCGAAACTGTATCCAATGAGAATATCATTAGGCCTGCAACCAGCCATTGTTTCGATTAATCCTATTTCCTCAAGTAATTGTTTGGCCTATGAAACATAAAAAAAAAACACATAAAAATGCTCATTATGTAATAGAGGAGCTTAATATGACCTCACCAAATGCCAGTTTTACTCAACAAACATCTCTAGTCCAAAATATTTAACTTACTATCCTGTAAGACAAAGAAAAGCAGTAGATTCTTACATTTGATTTTGCTAGATTATGAATTGGTATGATGATCTAAACATTGGCAGATTAACATGTCAATCAGTTAAAAGATGACTTAACAAATCTCTAATGAAAAATTGAACTCACTAGTGGTGTGATTCTGATAGTTGAGGTTCTTCACCGCTGATGATTTTCTGTCATATCAATGAAACCATTTTTTGTAGGCTTCCTGTTGATGTTACACTGACACGTTTTTCCACTTCCATTGTGGACTAAAAGCACACATAGAGGCATATTGTAGTCTTGAGATACTTCACCATTTTATGTTTACACATCCTAGTGTTCATATTTAACAGAAATTACATAAACGGTTGTCATTTACGAGCTACTGGCTAGAAATGAGCAAAGAATGCTGACATACAGAAAGCCCCGTTTCCACCAAGCGGTCCAGTTTGGTTCTGTTCGCTACGGTAAACTCTGATCTTGCTTGTGTTTCCACAGCCAACCGTATCCTTATTTGGTAAACAGAGTGTAAGCCAGATGGAGACGAGAACGGAGAATGGGACACAGTAAAAAAAAAAAAAAAAAAGGGACCCTTTAGGGTTGGATCGGTACCCTTGGCACCCCGACAGGGTACCAAAAAAGTAGAACGATACAGATCCTTTATGTTGGTACCATTCCCAACTTTTGACGGTGGAAACACCAATACATGGATACTGTACCGAACCGAACTGAATCGGACCGCTTGGTGGAAACGGGGCTATACACATGTGCAGAACAGTGATTCCGACATCCTAATTTAACAAGTTTTATCCTATCTGTAAAATCCGGTCAGCTAAGTCCTTTCAAAAAATCTCTGACTTTGCTGCTCGTCTTTGTTTGGCACAGTTACACCGTGGTTGAAGGCAGAGGGTCATAACGATGCGTTTAAACCAATACAACTGCATTCCAGTGACTTTTCATGCAAGTTTCCCTTTTTAATCACCAATGTTTAAGATGTAGTTCTGTGTCTCTGTTGAATATTTAAGATAAAAGTTAGCCGTAGAACTAGTCTGATAACTGCCAACATTGTAGGAACCAGAACTAAAAGCTCAATAGTTTAGCATAATGTTTTTTGTTTTTTTATTGGTGTGTTAGGGTGAGGTGTCTGGGAAAAAAAGAGAAAAAGAGACGCGCAGTCGAGTCCGCGTCTGCACATCAGAGAAAAACACAGAGAGCATGACAGCTACTTTACTGACTTTGCAGCTTATTTGCAGCCATAAATACATTTAAAAATAAAATAGACACGCGGCCGAGTCCGCGGGCGCCCGCACATCGGAGAACAACACAGAGAACATGACAGCTACTTTGTGGCTTATATTGAGTCATTTTAGTCAGATACAGCCATGAAACTCTGGATTTCTCCATAATGAAGGCTGTCAGCGTTGTGTACCTGCGTGTGTGCTCATGCATGAAGTGTACCGCACACCTCTCCGAAGTGTGCCAAAGCCAAGGAAGTGTGCCGTGCCTGAGCACAATACGGAGCGGTCACACTGGCCAAACAAACTGGACTTTAGCGTTGAAGCGTGCTCGGGCACGGCCAGTGAGGGTGCGGTCTCACTGGCCATCCGTATAATCTAGAAGAGTCAGGGGCCTTCCAACATGAACAGACACGTCCATTATAAGCCTAAGTATAGGCCACTGTCACATGGATTGGATTTACACTGCTGTGGCTGCAACACAAAATGAACACACATTGCATTCACAATCCACACAATGAATTTCTCTGGAGACAATCCTGCAACTGCAGCAGCTTTTATCTCATGAACTCAGTGAGTTTTTTTTAAAAAGGGCATGGCTCCTGTCCTCTGTGTGTATTTGAGCTCACGTTATTTGTCCACATGTTACAAGCTGCTATACAAGTTCAAGAAACCCCTGTGGCCTTCTGCCTACACTTCCTCTTCCTCTTATCAAACCTTCTCGCCTTCACTTTCCCGCCTGTTCTGTGATCGTTACATAAGTGGTTACTTTGAAACTGGCATGTTGTTGTTAACGCCGAAGCAGTTACTTCTACAAGGCCTTCTGACACAACAAGGACTTTCAAACTCGTTAAAACAGAAGCGTGTTAAGAGTTTACTAGAAGATGTTTTTAAGGATATGTGTTTGCGGGCACTTGGAAAATTCTTGTCACAACAGTGTGAATGGGGATGGCTTGTCTAATCCACTGTATTTACACAGCAGCCATTTATCTCTGATGTCCTGCTCAGGGATGTCAAATTGTACTGCTGTATTATAGGTTTAGGCTACTGATCCGCAACTGGAAAGACAATGTAGCCCAGGGCTATTCGATTGGCGGCCCGGGGGCCAAATGCGGCCTGCAGGCAATCTCAGAGTGGCCCCAACCCAGTCAGCATGAATCCAATTAATGAAAAAAATAACGAGTGCGTTGCAGTAATTAAATAATATAACATTCAGATGCAACACGATGAAAAACACCTGACTTATCCGGACTAACTTTCTTGAGGGATCCCAGGAGAGGGACCTTAAAGTACAGTTTGTCTCCAGCTTATGATCGGAGACGTAACCCTGGTGCGGACCTGCACAGACCAACAGAGAGACACAGCAGCTTCCCCGCGGTGTGTCACTCACAGAATTAGAGCAGTGAGAGGATGCACACTGGCCTTTTTGGATGAAGCGATAGATGATGCGAAAAGTCCGGCCCTCTTCAAATTCCTGGTTTTAAAATTTGGCCCTTTTGAATTCGTAATTGCATAGCCCTGATGTAGCCTATAGTGAAAATCTGAAGGGGCATCAGAACGCATATCAAGTTAACTACATTTTTACAAGCTGTTCTGTATTTTGGCCTACTGTGACCTCCGTAGAGGAGAATTGAATGTTGGAATGTTAGGCACCCAGATAAGGTGGAGATGAGAAAACAGATAACACAACCATTCAACTAATGATTTTAAACGCCAGCTTTTGAGGGAACAAACTTGATGTTTCAACTTGAAATAAAGCCATCTTGGTGAAAATGTAATGATTTGTGACGTTTCTCAATTTGTGACATTACAATTTACAAAACACAACTCAGCAGCACAAGATATAAAAACACACCCTGAGAGTTGCATCGTAATGAAATGGTCATAGTTTTGAATATGGTGAATGGGGGAAAAAATGAAGCTACTGTTGGGATTAAGCAGTTCATGGTTTATACTGTATAAGAGTTAGACAAGGAAGATCTAGATGTAGTGTTCCCAAAAGTGATGCATGTGTGTGTGTGTGTGTGTGTGTGTGTGTGTGTGTGTGTGTGTTTGTTTGTGACAGGAAAGCAGGTGAAGTATAGATGCACCATATAAGGAAGCTGCTTCCTGAAATACCTGAGCACCAGCTGAATGATGCAATAAACCATTCTTTTATGGCAATGTCAGTTGTAGTAGCCTATTTATAGAAGGAGAGGTATCTCGGATTTTTTAAGGATTAATTCAATATTTTTTTTCTGCTTCTGTATACAAATTGTAGGACTTGTCCATGATTTTATTCATCACGTGTCCTACTTTCTTTCAAGTGATCCCAAGTGCTCCCATCCAGCCCTGCTCTTTTTTCCCCGCGGGGATGTTTCTGACCTTGACCAGCCGTGTTTATCAACCTCTGTCGGACATAAAGGACCGCAGGCCAAACTCTTTATCCTCACAAGTTTCCAAGAAAATAAACCACCCGCCCTAGGACTCCAGAACGCAACCCTAGAGGCTGCCCGGCCGGCAAGCAGCTGTCTCTCCACGAGCATGACCTCACTGCGGGGTCTTGTTACCCGCTCTGAACAGCGACTGCTGAAAAGACCCGGACCGGAGCAGGGTGCTCCGTTCACGTGCTGTCTGAAATGTCGGAATTTCACCACAAAAAGTCACAAACGACCCATCAAAAAAAAAAAAGTGACCGTTTCCTTTAACACAATGATGCAAGGACAGAGAGGCATGATATCAGTGACACTGGTGGATTTAAAGCTATGCTGGTAAGATTAGGCTAATTGATCAGCCAATTAAGAAAATTGTTCGCCTATTTAGGCTACATTTAATAAGGTCCTATTTGTGTTTCTAATGATAGTTTGAAAAAAAATTGTAGATATCAGATGAAAATGTGTGGGCGTTGTGATAAGGTGATTGAAGTTTTCACTATTCTCTAACAAGATGTAGTATAAAAAAAAAAAACAGCATCTAGCCTAATTAACCATTTTCTTAAAACAAAAGATAAAAAAAACTTAGGCATCCTGAATGTGGTCTTTGGGGTGGATTAGGCTACAGCACATGATTGCATGCAGGCTAACAGGACAAAATAAACCCAGATGTTTTTTTCATGGATTCTTTGTCATCTATTTCATATTGCACTTTAAAAAAATATAGGCCATAGAAACATTAGCATTTATTTAAAAATAGTCATTAAAAATGGTGCCTCTGTTGAATACAAAGGTCTGCTATTTTACCAAAACGAGTCTGGGAGGACCACTTCTGGTTGAACCGGTGACAACATATAATTTAGAGGGAGATTAAGCCGTAGCCTAGTAGTAGCGTGTTTGCATCCTTATGCACCGCCACATTAATTAGGCTTTAGCCCACATAATTTAGGCAACAAGAAACCCCCTTTAAATTAAGACTGGAACTATACGGCTGTGGAAAGAACAGTCACTTCCGAAACATCAGCTCGTCCCCTCATCCTCACTTTGTGGTTTCTACTCTCACGTTTTCAATCTGTGCAAAACTTTGAGCTTTTATCACATTATTATTTACACATAGCGTCAGTGTGTCTTTTGTATTAATGTAAGGTAAGCGATGGGTTGTGAAGTTTTCTGCCACGTGTAGCCGGTTCGTCCAGCTTTTCTGCCGCCTCATGCCGCCACTTAACGCACGCTATAGGATAACTACACATCTATTAACAGTGGAAACATTGTAAGTATTTAAGAGTCAACCATATTAAGACTAGGCTACTTACTTGAGTTGTATGCCTTCTCAGGGAAGTAAAAATACTTGAAATGTTTCCTTTGCTGCTTGCTGAGCAGAAATGTAGGATTAAAGCTGGTTGTTGTTCTTCTTAAAATACTTGCTGAGCCCCTGAATTAAACCTTTTCCTTTCCCTGCTTCTTTACTATGGAGATTTCATGGAGAGACTCCACACTTCTTGCCTCTCTCCGGTTTCATTAGAGACTCCCCCTCTTTTCCTCCTAATTTGACTTCTAATTCCCTCCCTCTTTCTGTGACTTTTCTGAGTCGCCACCCTGCTGCCCTTATCCGCCACTCAGCAGGACAGATGTCTGTACTCCACTCACTCAATGCAAATGTACTCCACGGACACAGCATGTTTGCCTGCAGCTGTGGGCTCTCTGACGAATTACCTCCAGGGAAAAAAAACAGAGTTAGGCTTACTGTCAAAAAGAAGTTTTTAACTGAAATATTTCACAATATAAAACAATTTCACAGCAAAAACGACTCTTGTAGTATGTGTCTGTTCAAATTACAGATCTACAATCTGTTATTTGCATAACTATAAATGAGATAGTATGAGTCAGTATGTTAATAGACATTTATTTACACATGAACAACTAAGGACAACATATCTACTTGTGTAAATAAAGATCTAGAAAAACGTATGACTCTTCAGTGTGGAAAGCACGTAAGTTTAATGAATTAGTCTGCAGAACAGAACTTTAAAGGGACTCTGAGTCTCTTGCCTCCAAGCTTTCCTATTTCAAACACACTGGATCCAGGTGATAAAAGGCACACATGATTGTCACCATTGGTAATAAAGCTCAAACAAATCTTACTCTTTGTATGTAATCAACAAGCAGAGCAAACATAGTTTGGGAACAAATCATGTATTATTAGAGAACATGCCCTTGACCTCCTGTTCATTTTGAAATCTTTATTACTTCTCAGATTGACAGCAGAGCTCCAGCAATTCTTCATTAATTCTTCTCTCCATACAAAAGCAATAGATTTGCTAATTCACTGGATCAAAGGAAAATCTGCTCCCTGCTGGCCTCCACAGGGAAGTGAACAGTTTTCCATTTCGAAGATAAAGTTTTTCAACATTGGTTTCTGACCATCACAGCTTTACAGTAAGCCATGAAACATTTGTTCCAGCCGCAGGGGCAAACCTAGGAACTCAAGGCACAAATTTCTTAATAAAATAATCCTGTTGGAATTTCAGTGAGCTCCATCCAGCTGTGAACACCTGGAAATGTGACCTTTGATCCCACCTGTACGCCACAAAGTCCATGAGAACAGAGAAAAAAAAAGTCAGGCACATTTGTACTCATGTCATGGTACACTAAACTCACTGGCTGTTAGAAGTATGTAGCTGAGTGATTAGACACAGAGCGAATGATGCAGAAAAATGAGTCCACTGACAAAATAGACCTTGATTAATGAATACCTTTGTGAACCTCTGAATGCCCTGTTTTTGTCTGAACTCTTTCTGAAACAGTGGCTCCGATTTAGAAAGAAGTTTGGACAATGTATTTAAAAAAGAGAACATGTTTGATTCATTGCAAGATTGGGGGTGGGGGGGTTAATTTATCACCATCCTACATAGGTCCACAGGGATCAATCAAAAACATCTAAACATTGACTTGGGTACCCTCTGCATGAAAATCTCTCAGGCACATTCTTCTTGTCTTTGTGTCGATGAAGGATTTCTAAAGAGCTAGCCTGTGTGCTGAACAGACAGGACTCTCTGCCTGACACACTCAACAGCTTTTATCCTAATTTGGTTCTCCAGACTCCTCTAACTAAAAAGATAACCGTAAACAGAAAACCCCGCCAAATCCAGGCTTGAGAGTAACCTTCAAAAAACTTAAGCAGTCCATGTTTTTCAATTCAGCTGTGTTTTTAAGACCTCGTTAGGAGATACGATATTTTCAATAAAATTATACCGTATGATATTGTTGTTTTGGCCTTCGTGCTAAAACTAATTCCTTCTCCATTTGGTGGATGTGTGTTTGTTGTGTTTATATGTTTAGGTTATTTCTAATCAACTCTCCTGTTATCCTCACACATCTGTTTTTCTTGCTATCATTTGAGCCCAGGAATTTCTTAACTTCCAGAAAATGGGTATATTCTAAATTGTTACCCATATGTTTCAGATATTATTGTTTCATTGACAGCATACATAGCCCTTTAAATAAAACATAGCCCCCACAGGACAGTTTGTCACAACTGAGAGGGAAAACAACTGAGCACGCATCTTCACATACACTTTTTTTATTCCTACAAAAAAATCCCAGCACCCCATGCAAAAACATCAAAATGATTGACTCTAATAGAGGGCTCCACCTTCTGGAGATACAGGAGTACTTGTAAGATAACCTGCAAAGTATTTAAGTTCTCTGCATTACATATGAGAAGCTATGTAAGAAGCTGCCTTTTGAATTAAAAAACACTTTAGAAGAGATTTCTAACAACAAATGAAACCCTTATCTTAAAGTCAAGAGATGTTTGTGCTTTCTAAGCATGAAGTGCTTGTATCAGTGTTTGACATTTCAATAAATATAGTAGGTCATTTTCCACGGCGGATATTTTGACACAAAGCAGGAGAAGCACAGGTGAAACACATTTTGTTCACCCTGACCCTGCTCCAACAAGCACCTTTGTCGGTCATGACAATGTCCCTGCTTACACCTTGTTTTAATAGCATTTTTTATCCATCACAAGTGGGTAGCAGGAACACATTGTTGATGTAGGTGTATTATCGTTTACACATGACAAGGTGTTTAAGTGATGACAGTGCATCTTGGTGGTTGCTTACACTTCTACAAAGCAAACGCAAGATCCCCATCTGAATGACTTGCTTTATATGTAATCAAGATATGATACAGATATGATTTGGGGAGTGAATGGTGTTAGTTTTATGGGGGGGGGGGTTCAATTATAAAACTCCACTATGACATGAAACTGTAAATTCATACTATTTCAGACTGTTCAAATGCTTATGGTGCAGGGTGTCATTTATGTGTAACACCTGTCATAATGTCCTGCTGGGGAATATGCTCATTACTTTAGGAGATGAGCTGGTTTTCTTCAAACAGACTGCAGAAACGTTTACTTTTCATGCAGCTAAAGGAGGCTGCAGCTTATCAATGGCTCTGCAGAGAGGATTATTGGCTGCAATCTGCCATCCTTCACAATCTGTACACCTCCAGGACCCTGGGGCACGCAAGATTGTGGCCAACTCCTCTTACCCTGGAGACTCTTTGCCCCCCCCAGTTTATTCTATTAGATTTTATTGAAGTCCCCTGATCATCTGTTATATTTTACTTTGATGTCCACTGTTTTTTTTTGCATCGCAAACACAAAGACATACTTTGCAATAATCGTGATTCTGATTAAAAAAGTAACCAGATCAATTCCAACAGACATTGCTTTCATAAGGTAATTAACAAAAAAACATAATGAATCCAGATGAAATTTCAAGGCAGCAACTAAAATGTGGAACTTTAACTTTCATGTTTGACTCTATCTTTAGACATGCAACATTTGTTTTTCTAGCACAACCAGCTGTTTGCCAAAAGATTCAACTTCAGAGACCATTTAGGTGCTTTTTCTTTTTTTGCCAACTCCAAGCAATCATTGAATTTCTTCCTACTCAGCATTGGTTTCTGTCTTGGCACTCTGCAATGAATCTTCTCCAGCTACTTTCTGATGATGGGCTCATGAATTCTGACTGAAGCCAAAGACAAAAGACGCCTGCAGATCCCTGGATGTTGAAACTTGGTTCTTTTTGACTTCCTGTTGGATATTAATACTTTGCTCTTGGAGTGAATTTGGCAGCGTGAAGACTTCTTGGAAGATTCAGTTGTGTCCCAGGGTTTCTCCACTTGTACGGCATGCAATTGGCCGGGATTCAGCGGAGCCCCGGAGCTTTTGGAATGACTTTGGAAGGATTTCCAGACTGACAGGCGTCAGCATCGCCCCTCTGGAGATGTTGAGGGATTGCATTTGATCGTGACTTGACATGGTTCTGAAACTTGTCTGCTGATAGTTTTTCTCCAAAATGTCTCACATGTGTTACTGTCAAGTGTCCAAATCAGGCTGTATGGCTGCCATTTATAGAGAGACAAGACTTTGCAAAATAAATTGATGCACGAAATAATACATCATTTAACTAACTGATTAGAGTAATCCTTATGTGATGAAAAACACAGAGGTAAACATGAAAAGAAATGGTTTGCCATGTTGTAAATAACATTTACTGTTAGTTGCTGAGAGTTAGGTGAGAAGATTGATGGCCCTGTCATACCTGTTACGTTTAGCTTATAGCTTAGCATATAGCAAAAAGGACAAGTTGCATAACTTTGTCTGAAGATCTCTGCAGCTCAAGAATAAACCTATTTTATATCTGTAATATTTCATAATATTTTCAAAATAAAACATAAAAAACAGAATACAATAAAAAAAGTTATGTGATCATTTTATGACAGAGCAACACCTTCCTGGACCCTCTCGGATTTAGATCAAGTAAGGAGCTTTTCTAAAATATTAGGCCATTGCCTTAATTTGCATGTAGCATGCATAACATTTGTCATTTGTCCAATAAGATATGTTAATTTAAAATAACCTTTATAACAGCAGTAACAGCAGGGGGGGTAATCAGGGGTCTCACATTACCTTCCATGCATGTATGTATGAGTGTGTGTGGTTCTAATTGACCTGAAGCCCCTTTAAAAGCAGCAGTGATGCGGCTGCTGTTTGACATAGTTAGGGAAATTCCATCTTATGCGAGCTAATTATCATTCTTCAATCTGTTTCTACTTAAAAAGGTCCAGACAGCAACAGTGAAGGCACACACACACTCACACACTCAAAGTCAATGTGGTCTTAATTTTCATTAATGTGGGGACTGTTGGTGGGTTGGCAGAGGAGACGCTAAGTCTCACGGTACCTGAAACATTAAACATATCTAATCCCATGATTCTGTTAGCAGAAGAGCATGACACATCATTCTCCTCAGCTCAAAACTACACACAGGTGGTGAAACACGCTCACAGCTCCTGAGAAGTCATGAACTGCTAATGGTAACGATCCCAGCTCGCCACAGGAGGGCAACAGAGGCCTATAAAAACAGCATGGCGCTCCTTTTTACAAGAGAAGTCTATTTAACCTCATTAACTACTGTCCAATTG